CCCCGCGGCAGATTCCAGTGCCATATCCCGGGTGCTGACTGGAGAGGTAGAAGAATCGCCATCCGAAAAGGCCTTCTCAAAGATGTTGTCGCCATTGATATCTGCAGGTCCGGTAATGGGTCCTCGAGTCTGGCTTCGGTGGTCCTGAGTTTCAAGCATATTCGCGCGGGCCAGAAGGTCCATCATGCCCTGGATTTCCGTATCCCCGCTGACATTGGCTTGCGCGTTGGCGATTCCAGGATTGGTCCCAGCCCATCCCATGCGGTCGCGCATGAAATCAATGGATCTCTTGAGGATATTTTGGCGACTGTGAAGGAATTCCTCTGATTGTTGTGCAAATGAAAAAGAATGCAACGACTCCAACGGAAACCGGTGTAGGTCCTCTAAATCCGTGAAGCTTTGGGTCGTGGACAAGAGGCCGGGATTAACTCGAGACGACGAGCGCGAGCGGGGGGACGCAGCGGGGCGTTGAGCCGCCATGGGGGCTAGCGACGACGTAGAGAGGTTTGGAAGGGTCAGAACTCGCGAGGGTTGGTGCTGGCGTATACGATCCAGTCCAGACGGACCGAGTCCATGCTCGCTTTCAAACAACGGAGATCTGCTGTAATGCCGCAACGTCAGTGAGTGACCTGCGAAAGTAGAAGAACTCTCGCCGACCTTGAGATAGGGTCATATCCCGAAGAAACACTATTATCCCTCGAGCTCTTCAGCTCTGTCTGTAAGGAAAGTTTTTGGAATCCGGACTCGGACTCGGGCGACTCTGAGAGGGGTCCCAAGGGCGACGAAAGAGGGCTGGGCTCGCCTATGACTGATCAGCATGATTCACGCTCAACTCAATCGGCGCATGTCGAAGTTTCCATTCCACGGGCCCTGGAATGATCCAGTGATCCGGGGGGTTGATCTCCGCGGTCAGATGCACTGCAGAGATCGTGACTCGCTTTTCGGGAGTAAACCCGTGTCAAGCACACCACGTTTGGTTTCGCTCGGGCGCTCCAGCACGTCTGAACTCGATCGGGGAACTGGAACTGTAGCTTCACTGGTTTTCCCGTTCACCCCCTCTGGTTTCCGAGGCCCATGGAATGTGAAACAGATACAAGGTCAACATCAAAAGCATGTGCAAATGACTTACCATCAGGGTTAAAAGCAGAACCCATTCTCTTTTTTTTTGTATTTTATTATCTCTGACCCCTATTCAGTAAGAGACGTCAGATGGAAAGGAAAGGATGAGGCTCAATCGAGGCGAGCACTCGTGAAAGAGAGGTTATGCGACATGTATAAGTGTGTGGAGGTTGTGGACGGTCATTCGCTGCGACGGTCGAGGGGGCAGCTGCCTCGTAAGGACTCAGGCGACATGTGTGGCGTCGCGGCTGAGCACGCAAAAGGTAAAAAAAAGAGAAAGTCGCGGTGATGTAGAAATAGTAAGGGGGAAAGGAGAAAAGAAAAGCGCAGCGGGGGATTAGTGAGGTGGGGAGCCCAAGGGAAAATGCAAAGGAACTGGGTCCCTTTCCGTGATGTAATGCCGTCTTTGCCTTCTATACGTCTTTAAGGGCTTTCTTTTCTTTTTATTTATTATGCATAGGTCGGCTGATTGACGCCTTCTATCCCATGTGGCAATATAGCCTTTGCATAGTATGTACATTCTTAGAGATCTATGAGGAATGTCGGTTTATATGTGAAGCCGGGAATAGAGCGCTAAATACCAAGCTACTACTCAAATACTTGAGAAAGACATGGGTCCATGGAAGGAATACCGACCACCATGACAATCAATATACTCGGAGTATAGATCTAAGAACGCAGAGTTGAACAATAAACTCTTCTAGGTACTTCTAGGGTGACACGCGTGGCGTACTAATTATATTTTAGAGTTCACCAAGCGTGGAGCGAGATCAAAAAAGTTTGAAATCAAGTTGACTTCATATGTCTTCAAGCTGTGGAGATAGAGATTTGATATGGATACACTACTAGAGGTCGATGGACGTTGCTTTCCACTGTATAGGCGCTCAGGCAAAGGTTACCCCGCTTCAAAGAGGTCACTGCCAGCTTGCTTCCAACTATGTATAGTCTCTAAAGCCATTCTGCAGACGATGATGCAAAGTGGCTTGTCGATAGATCCGAGCGCCTGATGTGGGACCATGCTTGACTCCATTAGGTGTCCGGCTCCCATTGTTCAAAACATAACAATATATTAGCCTTAGAGATAACAAATGGATCCCGTGGACCCCGGGCTTACATATCACCGGCTTGTATACGCAACCAGTAATACAGGCCGTAATCGAGGCGATCACAATGGCCCATCCCCTGACAGAGGATCCCGAGAGCCCCGAAGGCTGTGTAGTGCCAATTCACTATGCTCGGCATCTGTCCCTGAATTTTCATCTCCGCCAGATCCGAACAAGGTGCTGGGTCTGCGGGCTTGGGCTTGGTCCTGCTGCCGGGTCTGCTCCGGCGGCGGCGACGTGGAGCTAACGAAACAAGATAGGTTCCGGCCGCCATCAAGCATCCATGAGAACCCTGCATCTGTCAGGGACGGGCGCACATTTGACCGCGAGGCTGTTGCCCGCACACCTTCGGCTTGCTTGTCAGTGCTCATCCGATTTGTCGTGGCGACGCGAACAGGCTTGGAGGTTCCACTCTCGGCAGTCGGCCCGTTCGTATTCGTGTTAGTGGAAGTTGGCGTTCGCGATGGAACCCCGGTTTCGAAATCGTGCTTTGTTTCGCCAATTGTTGGTTCGGTTGTCTTTTGAAGCCCACTCTGGCAGTTTGCTTTACCTTCTGCCTGAGGCGGTTGCTCGGTAGACTCTACTGGGACGGAAGGATCTTGAAGGCAAACATGGACGCTCTCAACTTTGGCCAGAGCTTGCTTCACGGAATCGTTTGTTCCGGGGTCGATGTCTTTGACATTGGCCAACTGCGAGCGAAGATCATTCAGTGCCTCGCGTAGGGTAATTGCCAAGGCTTTGTTCCTTTCTTCGAGACTATCAATCTTCGATTCCAGTGCGACTGTGGCCGCGGGTATTGTGGGGACTGTAGGCTGAGCCTCAGAAGCCGACGCAGCTGTAACATGCCTTGAAGAAGCAGCGCGCAAATTTGGTTCGTAATGCATTGTCTGCATGTTTTTCCTTGCTTCAGTCACAGCACCTCGAACAGCCTTGGCCACACCCCAAGACTCTGTTCGGCGTTGAAAGCCCTGTGAAACATCCTGGAAAATGGATTCGAGACTTTTAGGGTTGTTTCGTGCGGGGGAATGAGCAGGCGAGCTGCTTTCATTGCGTCTCTTGAAGTCTTCCCATGGAAAGGCCTTCCGTCGTGTACCGGATTGGCTGCGACTCTTTGACTCCGGTGGTCTACCCGAGTACTTTGAAATGATGAAATTGCCCCGCTCGGCTGTAGGGTTTTGTTCCAAATACAATGCGTCGTACACAAAGGTCTGGGGTTCATGTGGCTGAGGTGAAGGGTAGCGGAGTAACAATGTTAATGCAGTCGAATAGTCTGCCTCGAGCACTAGATCGCGCATGTTAGCTAAACGTCATTCAACGAACGACTAAGCGTCAACCAACATTGCCAGCGAATTCTCAGTAGCATAGATATGCATGTGAAATCAACAAGATCAGACCGTAGTCCATGAGCAAACAGGAGATCCCACATCAGCAGGACATCATCAAATGGAAATTCCCGTCCAAAAAGGAGGCGCATCCAGCGGCTTTGCACAGAGTTTAGCATGTATATCACACGTTATTGAGGCACTGCAACCTACGTCAGGAAAATTTGTGGTAGAACATCGACTGCTTCCAGGTGTTCCGCGAGTTCGTGGTCAATAATCATCAATGCCTCTTTGTGGAGATATTGGCACCGATCAACTATTGGAAGCACCTCTGCCTGGCCATTTGCAGATCGTGTCTCACTGTGCTCATAGTAGATGCGAGCTGTCTGCATGGCAGAAAGGAATAACGTGAAAGAATCATGCTCCACGAATTGAGGATCAAGAAGCTGAAGCATCAATTCCTCGTTTTTGTCGTCGTTTAATTTAGGTTCTCCAGATTGTGACTTCACTGAGTCCCGGTCCACTGCCCAAAGTATGGGTGCGAGCAGCTCATGCATGCCTTGTCTATACCCCACGTCCGGATTGAGCTTGGAGTAAACGAATAACACATCGGTCAACTTGGATTTCGTGGCAGGCTCTTGGAAGAAGAAGTTCTCTTGCAGGCATCGATCGACGTCTTGTAGAATTTCGGCGCGCAGCGTCTCATCGTTCCGAAGTGTCTGCCAAGGAGACTGATCGTTCCAAAACTTGGTCAGATAAGGCACTATTTGGCGGAAGCAGGACGAAGCTGAGAATTACGTACCTCTGCATCGTCCGCCAGCGGATCAACACTTGGGTCTATATCGTCCGGGTGTTCAATGTATTTCAAAAAGTGGTCTCGGAGTGCACGATAGGCGTCGCGGGATTCGTCGAGCTTGGCTGCCCATTCATTTTGATCCAGACCGTCGAAAAGCAGAAATGCCTGTACTTAAATGAGCATCTATATCCAAGCTCAATCATTTCGAGTCACAGAACCTTCCAGCAAACCGATCTCAGCCCATCATTGCATAGGTTCCCTCCCTGTTCGGATCGCAAGGTTGCTCGGAGGTGGGAGGGCGTGTCATTGTCGGAGAACAAGATGTCCCATCTCTTTCTGTGAAGATCAGTAATAAAATACTTCCAAGAATATTGGTGGTAAATACCGTGTCTCCTCAATGGTTCTCATTGCCGAAGTTGTTGACTAGGAGAAGATGAGGGGAGCCGGCGATAACTAGACCGCCCGCCTTATCGTCATTGCGACATCTCTATAATCGTCCGAGGTTGACACTTTCACTCAGACGAATTTACAAGGAAGGGCGGAAGCAGCTCGAGGATATTTCGGTTAACGTCGATATACGATCCATTGCTTTGCTGCATGTGCAGAACCAGCCCGTAATTCAAATGTCACCTTTCACAGCTTCATGACACCACGTCCGAGATGTCTGCCGATCTACTAGCAGAATTTGGCCAGGGCCCTGTCCCAGCCAGTGGCTCTTCTGGCCAGCAGAACCAGAAAAGTCCATTCTTTGATGACCTGAATCAAGAGAATATCGATTTTTTTGGAGCGCCGGCAAGTGCTTCACAGCACAACAGAGCTGCGGATCCAACCCCGAAGACAGCTGGGAAGCATTCCGCAGCTCAAAGCCCATGGGAGTCCCATTCTCAGCCGAAATTTGACTTACCCCTACATCAAAACAGTGACGTACTGTTCGATGCAGCATTCGACACACCAGCAAGTGACGCGGATGACGACTGGGGTGAATTCGAGGGACCGGAATCTACTTCCCAGCAGGCTTCCAGGCCAACGGCTCCATCCCAGCAGTCATCAATAGCTACATTTCCCAAATCACAACCTCCACAACCTCGACAAGATACATTTGGGACCTCGGGGGCGGTTAACTTGCTGGACTCCCTCTCAATAAGCGACACGACACCAACGCTGAACCAGGAGACAAAGGTTCCCCCAAATAAACAACATTCCAAATCTAATAATCAAATCCAACCAACATGGGATGATGATTCGTTCGGTGACTGGGGTGAGTTCGCCGATGTACCCGCTAGCAAACCTCGACCAAAGGTCTCGGAGAAAAAGGCAAAACCACCTGTCAAATCTAGCAACCCGCCAGCATCAACCTGGGATGATGACGCCTTTGATGATTGGGGTGATTTCACGGACGGGCCCGGTGCACCACCGGCCTTCAAATCCAATCCGATATCGCCAACAGTCGCCAGTCCAGCACCTCGAAGCTTCGTCTCTGGAAGCTCGGCATCTTCACCCATCGTCCGCCCAACGAATATTCCACCGCCATCTGTACTTCTCGAGTTATTCTTAGATGTGTTTGAACATCTACAAAAGGAGGCCACACTGGTCAAATCCCAACTACGATCCTCGCCATCAAACACAACCAACCTTTCCGCGATTGCGCCAAATATCCACAATGCGCTTGAATCCGCTGCCCGTGTGATTGCAGGGCGAACTCTCCGCTGGAAACGAGACACCATTCTCAGCCAGAGTATGCGAATCGGTCCTGCTCGTTCCGGCAAATCAGGTGGCATGAAACTCAACAGCGTGAATAAACACGAGAACATCAAAGAAGAACAAGATGCCGTCAATGTACTTAGCCTTTGGCGCGAACGGGCGGCGGTCTTCAATGCTGTTCTACAAGCCGCCGGTCAGCGGCCCATTCCCGCGGTCCCGGACCCGAGTGCGCTCAAAGTTACTGTGGCTCGATCGGACCAAGGAGCGTTGAAAGCTTCCCATTCATGTGCACTGTGCGCGCTCAAAAGAGACGAGCGAGTCTTACGGGTGGATGAATCGGATGTACAAGATAGTTTTGGCGAGTGGTGGACAGAACACTGGGGTCACACGCACTGCCGACAGTTCTGGGAGACAAATCAACATCTCCTCAGGCAACGATAATGCGTTTATAGAGAAATAGTTAACACGATGACCCAATGCTAAATTATAACCGGGAAGGGGCCCGATATCTTCTCCGCCTCGATAAGAGTTCATCTTTGCCACTTTGTGATTCGTTGTGAAGCCGCCCCAATCATAGTTCTACTTCCTCATTCCCCCCCGCATTTTCAACATGTTAACATAACCCTTGTATCTTGTCAACTTTTCCACTTCACTCCAATATATACACATGGCGGGTGATGGAAGAGTCGCAAAACGATCTTCGAATGCGTTAGTGAAAGCACTTCCGCGAAAGTCCGGTCGCTAACTTCATTAGTTGTGTGCGATGTCGAAGACAAAAGATCAAATGCTCCGGATCGCAGCCCTGCGATGGATGCAGCAAGCGCAAGCTTTCATGCATCTTCAATGATCGAGACCAGAAGATACTGGTCACAAGAGGGTAGGTCCAATGCAGAATCTGCGAGTTCAACGGCTAATGATCGACACAGGTACATCATGGAGCTGCAGCAGAGGATTGCGCTTATAGAGCAGTCCGAAAAGGGCCAACGGAGTCCTTACAGTTCCAACTTTGATACACAAACCAATGGTCTGTTTAGGCTTGTGGCATTTTAGCCAAATGTCCCTGCTGATTTATTACAGATCCAAAGGACCACGAAGATGCATCACTGGACAGGATTACTCCTAAGGATCATGATGAGTCCCAGGACTACGAAGACCCAGATTCTGGCTTGACAAACCCGCTCTCAAGCGGCCCTCCTGCCTTCATGGCAGCGGCGAATGGCCGGACGTGTATGTATTTTTTATATCTTGCAATGTACAATTCTAACGACACCAGTCTATCTTGGAACATCATCAAACTGGTCATTCACTCGGCGAATTCTTAGCTTGGCACACCATCGTGCCTATCAGGAGGCACTGTCGCCAGAAGCTTTACTATTTGACGAAATGACTTACGAACTCCCGTGGGACGGGTTACGAACAACCCCGGGCCCAGATGTTCCCGTCATTCCTACTCGCGACCACACTATGTATCTGATCAACGCCGTCAAATTCCGATGTGGGCAATTGTATCACCTCTTTGAGGAAGGTGAGTTCATGGCCTCATTACGGGAATTTTACTCGGGGGATGGCAACACCATGACCAATAGTCTATGGTACATCCATTTTCTCCTAATCTTGGCGTTTGGCAAAGGATTTGTTCAACCCAAAGCTCAAGGGAAAAAGCCGCCGGGGGTTGGCTACTTTGTCAAAGCTTTGCAACTTCTACCTGACCCCGGCGCTCTATACCGTGATCCTATGGTGGCGACAGAAATCCTCTGTTGTATCGCGTTATATTCCCAGTGCATCGATTGCCGCACATCGGCGCACAACTATGTAAGACACTCTGAGAAAAGGAGTTGTGTAGTACTTGACTGATAAAATCTCCAGATTGGGCAAGCCGTGCGGATGGCCATGGCACAGGGAATGCACACTAGGATGCCAGTCGAAGATTTGGGCCATGACACGGTTCAGAGATGTGGCAAGATCTGGTGGACAGTTTACATTTTAGACAGAGAAATGACCTCTCTAATGGGTCTCCCTCAGTCTATCAATGATCGCTACGTGCAAACCCAGCTTCCCACATTCTCAGACCAAGCAGAGACCGTGTCTCTCGAGATGCATATCAAGTTGTCTCAGATTATCGCTGAGGTCAACAGCAGTAAGACCCATCTGTCCCTCTTGCTATTGATATCATCTAACAGTTTAATAGAAGTATATGCTATCGACGGACGCATCAATCGAACATTCCTGCTCAGCACTAAAGCCGCATTAGCGAATATTGCAAGCCTTGCCGATGAACTTCGCGAAGCAGTACCGTTACATTTGGACCGAGAAGTGAGCGGTGTTTCACGAACGTCGGCCTCTTTACACCTTCTATATCATCAAGTATGTGGTTCTCTATAAACGAGAAAATGCGGTCGCTAACCTTGGTCAAGTGTATCATCCTCGCAACCCGACCTCTGTTATTCTGCTTCCTCAAAATCCAATTCGAGTCACCAGAATCCTGCCTAGCATCCTTGAATGCCTCCCGAAACGTTCAAAACTTGATGCAAATGTGTCTTGAATCTGCCCAACACATCATCAGTATTCTCCACAGCCTACAGATCCAAGGTCTTCTAGGTACGAATCTAAGGCAGCTATCCTCCCAGATATATTCAGACTGACTCTCTGGTTCCAGAAACCTTCCTTCCCTTCGACCTCGAATCCCTTTTCGTATCAACAGTGATCCTCCTACTATGCCCGGCAATCGACCCCCGCTTACTAGACAGCCACCCCAGCTGGTTGGAAAAGGCCTACGCAATCTTCGATGAAATGATCGGAGACGGGAACCAAGTAGCCAGTTTCCGGCGGTCAGAGCTGCAAAGACTGGACGAGACCTTGAGTTGCATCTCTCAGGGTCAATCTCGACCTTTGACGGTGCCTAATTTCTTCCCCCAGACTGATGTTCTTCCTAATCCGCCTTCTCCATCTTCGACATCCATCCCGGAGTCAATACCACAGCCTCTTCAATACAATGCTCTTCTCAGGCAGGATCCTGTGTTGGATGGAGAGTGTGATTTCGGGACGATGTTGACTTCAGCTGAAATTATGGCTGTTGCGGATTCTATTGAGACATTTGATACCGAATGGGTGTCGAATGCGATGGTCGAGCATAGTATTTGGTAGATTGTCATGTGTAACGAATGTGATGAATCTTAATGTAACTTTGTTCCCAATGTATTGGTATTCAATTGGAAACGCTCCTGAAAACGAAACTTGAATGAGAAAGAAATATAAGAGCTGTATAAACCAAAAATTCTAGAGAAGCTATCTAAAGCTTAGACGATCTCCCAGGCCGAATCTCAGCAAGCTCCTTCGACTCTCCAATTCTCCAACTAACATCACCACCCCAGTTTCCCTTCTCACCAGCAGGCTTAGGTTGCTTCCACCTCCACCTCGTAATCTGCTGCTGCCCAGCACCCAAGAAATCCCTAACCCAAGACCCAAAGATAGGGAACATTTTAAATCCATGCCCAGAATCACCAGAAAGCACAACAACCGAATCGGAAGTCTCAGGAAGATAATCAATAATAAAGTCCGAGTCATCAGTATCAGCAAACCAACAAAGTGACCTCCTAACCAACGGCCGATCCTTCAACGCCGGAAGCGTATGAGCCAACAACTTCCTCATCTGCTTCTCATCATGCTCAGGTATAAACGCACTCTCCTCCAACGAACCAGGCATATGCGAAACCCCAGTCTGAGCATCAGTGTTGATATACCCACCCCCCATAGGACAAATCTTCAACAGGTTCGTCTCAGGATCAGGCTCGAACAGGAATCCAAGGTCGCGCGCATAGGTTACGGGGATATTCCGCAGCATGGACGTTTCCTCGTCGGTCAGATGCACATGAGCAACAGACCACGACTTCGCAACGACCTTCGTTCCAAGCTCGGGAACAAGTCTGCCGACAGCACCGCCCGCTGCAACAATTACCAGCGAAGACGGGTGGAATTTGCCGTCTTTCGTGCGGATTCCGGAACTCTTTCTACCCTTCGACGCGCTCACGTAGACGATCTCGTCGACTGCGCCGCGTTCGCCGAGGTAGAAGCGGACGCCGGATGCTTGCGCGGCTCGGTATACTGCTTTCAGGGCGTTGCCTGAGTGCGCGTATCCGTCGAACCGGTTTAGGTAGCCGTTCCAGCCGGTTAGCGGACCGTTTAGTTGCCAGCATGCTTCGCGGATGTCCTCGTCGCCTTTTAGAGGGACGACGTGCGGCTTGAGCTGGGCGTTGCCGTCTGCTGCGGCGCGGAAGCGGCCGAGAGTTTCGACGGCCTTTTGGGGCGCGTTACCGGATACACAGTGTAGGAAACCGGTTTGGTGGAAATGGGGGGCAAATAGGGGGGTTTTCCAGGCGGCGATGGCTTTCTATAAAAGATCACGGAGACACTGGTTAATATATGTTTTTGGAGAATATAGTATGCAAGTATGTATATAACGAACAATTGTCAGATCAGTATAGAACGGATCCTCATACTCCGCGCGAACAATCTTGTTCAGATCATTGGCGGCTGAGAAGCGCGGAGGGATATGATCATCTTTCTCATAGATGGCCACATTCGTGAAGCCATCGCGAGTCAGATGTAGAGCGGTTGAGAGGCCAAAGGCTCCTCCGCCAACGATTATGATCGGGTCGGATTTGGAAACTCCCATTTTTGGTTGAGATGCGATTGAAATAATGGGCGACCTGCCAGATTTGCCTGTAGTTATAGCTATCTATAATTCTCAGGTGTTGGCCCATACGGTAACCTGGCCGAGCTATCTGCAGAGTGCGGGGAGGGCGGAGAGGAGGCCGTCGGGAGGCCTCCCGGCGTGGATCGCATGGTTTTGATAAGCTTCAACGTCGGATTTGATAAGGGCATATTTGATCCTTAAGTGTGAGATATTTAGATTGTCATGTATGACCTGGCTTTGTGGGGTTAAGTGGCTGCAAAATTATTTTCGGCATGTCTTGCGGCCCCGGTCCCGTACGTATCTTATGAACTTGTGTAAAAAGGCATATCTTGTTTATGTATCTAAGTTCTCTTTTGTCGCCTGAATTAATGAGAGGAATATAATTTATAAGGAATGTACAGTGCAATAATATGTATAGATCGAGGAGGGAGTAGAAGCCGACACTTTGGTAAGTACTCGCATGACGAAGTTATTAACGACAGATTAACACTACAACCGGGCTATTTTTACTATTCTTGTACCTAGCTAAGATCCTAGCTAGCATACCGCTACAAGAATGTATCTTTCTGTGAGGCATAATCTGACTAGTATACCAATGCAAACTAGCCGAAAATCAAGTCTGAGTGCTTTGAACTTACAAGAATGGTCATTGTAAACAAAAGTGTGATTGAATTCTGAGAGCACATATTTTGCTAAAGCGTCTATAGAACTGTTCATAATACATCCGAGAAACCTCAGTGGTTGCTGGGGTAAGTGAATCCCTCCTGAGGGAAGAACTCCTCCTTGATCAAACGTGGGCTGACGAAACGGCGAAGAGGATCAGCGCTACCAGCCTTGTCGTTAGTTCCACTGGCGCGTGCACCACCGAAGGATTGCTGGCCAATAAGCGCAGCAGTGGTTTTGCAGTCTATAAGAATAAGATGGTTAGCTTTGGTCATATGTCATATCAGAATTTATGAGACATACTGATATAGAAATTTCCAGCAGAGTAGCGGAGAGCATCTTCGGCCTGGCGGATGGCAATCCGGTCCTTGGCAAAGACAGCACCGGTCAAGGCGAGACCACCTCCGTTGCGGTCAACATCCTTCAGGGTCTGGGCCCACTCGGCGTCCTTGTAGACGTAGACAGTGAGGACAGGACCGAAAATCTCCTCGTTAAAGAGACGGTGGTCTGGGGAATCGGCCTGGTATACAGTGGGGTGAATGTAGTAGCCCACGGAACCATCATAGGTACCACCGGCAATCAGCTTCAGCGAGGGGTCCTTATTGCTGGCATCAATAATACCCTTGATCTTCTCGAAGGAGGCACGGTGGATCACAGGACCCATAAAGGCAGACAAGTCCTTGTCGGGGTTTCCAATAGTGATTTCCTTCACACCAGCCTTCAGAGCAGTGAGGAACTCCTCAGCCCGAGACTCTGGCAGGTAGACACGAGATGTGGCAGAGCACTTCTGGCCTTGATACTCGAAGGAGCCACGGATGGTGTGGTTAACGGCACTGGGGATATCGGCCGAGGGGTGAACAAGGTGGAAGTTCTTTCCACTGGTCTCGGCCACCATGCGAGGGAACTCGCGGTAGGACTTCTGGGCAACACCCTGTCCGATCCGGCCGAACAGAGAGCGGAAGACATTCGAGGAGCCAATGAAATTCAGACCGGCGAAATCACGGTGCGCAAGCACAGTGTCGGTGATAGCCTCCGGGTCTCCAGTCACGAACTGGATAACGTTGGGTGGAAGACCGGCTTCCAGAAGAATTTTGTAGACCAAAAAGCTGGCGTAGACATTGGATGGCGAGGGCTTCCACAGAACGACGTTACCCATTATTGCGGGTCCGCAGATCAGGTTTCCACCGATGGCTGTGAAGTTGAAGGGGGAGACGGCGTAGACGAAGCCCTCCAGGGGACGGTACTCCACACGACTGCGTCAGGTTAGTTTACAAATTCATTATGCCTATAGAAGATATAACTCACCTCCACATGCCGTCACTGCCACGGGTAGGCTGCTTCTCCAAAATCTCACCGGCCCAGTTGCAGTTCAAGCGGAAGAAGTCCGCCAATTCAGCAGCGGCATCAATTTCTCCCTGCCAGATATTCTTGCCCTGGCCAAGCATAGTCGCCGCGATAAGCTCATATCGGTACTTAGTGCACACCAACTCAGCAGCCTTGAGAAAGATCGAGGCACGGTCAACAAATGGCGTATCCTGCCAGCTCTGCTTGGCCTCCAGGGCGGCGTTGATAGCTTCGTTCGTTTGTTCCTTGGTAGCGAGGGGATAGTTTGTGAAAGTGGTTCCGTGCTCGGCGGGTAATGGCTGATCCCAGGACTGGGAGCTTGCTTGGAATTTTCCGTCGTAGAAGAGCTCACTCCGCACGGGCATCTGAGAACGAAGCTTCTTCAACGCTTCTTCGACCTTTGTGCGCTCTGGGGACCCTTTCCTATATTCAAGCTACACTATGGTTAGCTTGACTTGGTCTTCATAGTTGATGTCCACTCACGTTTGGCTCGTTTCTGGCATCAGGAAGACGGAAGGGCATGGTAGCCTTAGAACGGGTCTGCACAATCCCCGGAAGGGAGCGCAGACGAGGGCTAGTTAGCCGTGTGGCGCGCAGTCTCATGAGGGAAGCTGTAGACATGGCGAATATCTTGTTTGATGGAGTCAACAGCGATGTGAACTTGAAGAATCATGAAATCGAGACGAACAGATGAATTTAAAGGTCAACCAACCCCTCGTGAAAGCATCGGGGGCTTGTCCGTTACCCCACAAATGGTATCTCATTCCGACCGAGCTATGATGCTCTGATTAAGCTACAATGCACAGTTGTTACTCGAAGTATGCGACGTCGGGAGGGTAGCCGATCCCCAATATCGGGGCGGGTTAAATAGTCATTATCAGCGTGTTTCCAGGTAGATAAGCAGGAGAGAGAACTATGTAGCTCAAATCACTATGGAAATTCAATCACATCAGGTTCGTTGGAACAGTACACATCTGGGCCAACTGGTGGGCGATCTGGTTGCGGCCACATTCTCCGCGACCCTCGTGACACCTGCAGTAGCAATTATCGACCGGCAAGTCTCAACTCCAAGTGTGCTGATAACTACTAACAAGCACTTAGATCCATCGTCGAGCAATCTGCATTCAAACAGTCAATTCTCCACGGCCTACGCCGCCATGCGATCGCGGCACTGAAACAACCACACCTGTTTGTTTTCCAGCGCCCATTCGGCTATATCTGGGCGCTCTACGCGGCCACTTACTCCGTCGCCAACGTAACCGACACCGTCAGTCGCAAGCTGGGGATAACCGCAGCGGGGACTATCACCTTTGCCACGACGATGCTGGCAAACGTCCCGTTAGCGCTGTGGAAGGACATCCGATTTGCGCAGATCTATGGCTTCGGCAAGACTCCCGATGCCAAGACTGGCTATTCTACGCCCCTCAGACAGAACCGGTCGATCGCACGGGCTGCCGCTGCTATCTTTCTGGTGCGCGATGGTGTCACAATCTTTGGATCGTTTACGCTGGCGCCGTGGCTCTCAGCTGCTATCCCTGATAATCTGGCGGCCCATCCTCATACCAAGCCGGTCATCACTCAATTGACTGTTCCTGTATTGACACAGTTGGTGGCTACTCCATTGCATTTGCTTGCGTTGGATATGTATACGAGGCAATATCATGTACCCTTTGTGGAAAGGGTCAAGCAGTCGCAGCAGTATCTTGCCTCGTCGACTCTGACGCGTTGTGTTCGTATTATTCCGGCATTTGGAGTCGGATGTCTGGCGAATATAGAGTTACGAGCTGCCTTTCACGAGAAATTGACATGATCATATGAAATACTTTCTACCGTTCCTATCTTATATCTAACAACCCACTGTGCCAATTAGGCACATCTATAGTCTATCAACCACCTTTATCCAACATGGTCCATGAAAGTCGCGTCATCTCCTGCTCAAGCGTGCTCAATCTGCGTATCCCCAAGTCCACACTTCCCAGTATCATCAGGATAAGACAGCAGCTCTGACTGATAAGGCATCTCCCGTGCAATTCTCACAGTATCGAAGACAGACTTCGACTGAACAAAGATATCGTCAATCTCTTCCAATGTGCGGCCCTTGGTCTCAGGACAGAAGAGGTAGAAGCTGACACAGGCGAAAGCGCTGATACATGCATAGATAATATAATAACGCCAATGGATAGTAGCAAACCCAACAGGGCTCACTTCAGCAAGGACGAAGTTGAAAAGCCAGTTTGCCGCAGCCGACATGGCCGTAACCTTGGCACGGGTACGTAGGGGTGCAATCTCAGCAGCGTACATGAAGGGGACAAGGAACAATCCAATGGGGAAGCAGAATAGGGCGATGAAGTAGAATAAGAGGGATGCACTCGCTGCGGCGTGGTTACTCAGATCGCTTGATAGTCCGGCCAGACAGGCCTGGGCAATAGTCATACCGGCAGCCGCGGCGATAAACAGTGGACGACGTCCAACTCGATCAATGAGTAGAACAGCCAGACCAGCGGCCACGAACTGCCAGATCTGGAGACATCCAGTGATGATTCGGGCGATGGTGCCCGAGTATCCCAAATCATTCTCGAAGATAGTATCGGAATAGAAAGTGATGATATTGACACCGGTCATCTGCGCCAGGATGTTCACGCCCACAGCAATAACCGTCCGGTGTAGATGGCCATTATTTGTAAGTGCGAACGGCGAGGAAGAGCCCGTCGACTCGTTGTTCTGATCCATCACAAGCGACTGCCGAATAATCTCCAGCTCTTGCAAGACATGTTCGGAGTCAACCGACACATCTTCCATGCGGGCTAGCACTTCAGCTGCTTCGTCCATTCTTCCAGCACGCGCAAGCCAACGCGGAGACTCTGGCAGAAGCAAGATACATGTCACAACAACGAGAGCGAATAGACCCTGGAAGGCGATGGGGAAACGCCAGCTAACAGAGTTGTCACTGACATAGTAAAGTCCGAATTCCAACCATGTTGCGAGGACAATGCCGCCGATTGCGAACCATCCTTCCAGCAGCACCATCCGACCACGGGCTTCTGCGCCAGATGACTCGGAGACATACATTGGGATGGTGGCAGTAAAACCACCCACGCCAAGGCCTATATATATTCAGGTTTGGTTAGGTCGTGATAATTGAGTCATTGATAGGATAGGTGATAGGTCATTACCAGTAATGACTCTACCAGCAATAAGCTGACCGAGTGAGAAGGGAGTCGACTGGATAGCTATACCGACCAGAGCGATGCAACCTGCTACGAAGATGGTCTTGCGGCGACCGAGCCTGTCGCCCAGAAAGGCGCAGGAACCGGCGCCCAGTGCACATCCGACTTCATATATCGCGACCGTGGTACCTTTCCATGGTCAGCGGAGTCTTTTCTCCTAGCTAAAAGTTTGCATTGCTCCTAGCACATACCTTGAATCGTAGAATTATATGAATTTCGACTTCCCGTAGTATTGACAGTGTCGATTTGAGGGAAGACAGCAATGAACGAACCCAGCGTCAACAGCCCATTACAAACTGCCTGATCGTAGCCCTGGAGCACGAAGCCAACAGCACCAATGAGACCGATGACGAGGCTCAATGACTTGCCCCTAAGCTTGTCCGCCATGACAATTCGATAGATAGACTTCTAGCAAGAAAGATGTACACTTTTTGGGCGAAAGCGTTGAAGAATTTCAATTCCTTGCGCGAACACGCGCAAGGGCCGGGGCAGATAATAAATTACAAGCGTAACCTTGAGATATCCCCACCCTCAAAGCGAGGGGCCCCAGACTCGTAACTTAGCTGAATGAACTAAACGAACTAACGAACTAAACTAGGACTGGGGAAAGACAAGCTTACCAAGCTTCGGACGTCGGCCGACCAGCCAATCATATTGTTTGATTAATATGAAGAGTGGGACTTAGACTTTGAACTAGCCGTGGTACAACGCCGAATGCCGACCCTCCCAGCCATCTCCGCATCGAGTCCGCCCACAATATCTCTCCACAATTACCTTCGGAGTCGGCAATTGGCTCTGCGATTCGGAATACGGCAATTTCTACTCTCCGGCCGATAGTCCAGATCCATTTCCCCTCTTATGTGCTCATACGTAGTTTTGTGTCCGAGGTTTTGCCTTGCCCTCTTATCTTCCGTATTACTTTTGTGCTTGCGACAAGTATCTCCGAGCCAATATTATTGGTTGGTGCTTTATACCTTACATGGGTTCGGCCCGACTTGATTAACTCGCATCCCTTCGAGCCGTGAGCTGTTATTCTCTTTAACCTAAGCATTGTCGTTTGTCCGCCGGTCTGGTTGTCTATAACATCCTGTTCAAGTAGGCCACCATTTCTATATGGGTTTCAGTCGCCACAGTCAGACCTTTGTTGAAAATTGTACATGTAAGACCTGCACATTCTTGACCCCTAGCATGATCACGCCATTGTGGTCCTGAGTCCCTATATTTTGGTTACTCGTAATCTTACAGAGAAAACTTCTGTTTTGTGCCTCTTTTGGTTATCTTGAAAGCAATCCTCAGTTAGTAGGTCTCCGAAGTTCCGACCTCGCATGATGCATAATCTTACATGTAGCGCTCACTGACTCTGGGTGAGTCATGGTACATGTATGTTTCTATCTAAATAATTATGATTAACCTATTACGCTGTTATCGACCCTCTCAAGATAAGACCATGATGCCCCAATCAACACAAGACGGTGATACGCTGCGCTAAAATAGGGGGCTACTTATAATGTCTCCAGGATTTCCGAATTTCCCCCTAATCCTTCTACCTTAAAGAACCCTATGGCCCCTATTGCTTGCTATACTCACCTAGGTAGCTAAAAAGGGTTCCAAACGGTAGACCGGCATGGCTTCTTCGTTGTCGCGTGCCCGTTGGACATATTCGGCCAGCAACGCCTTTTGCAAAAATAGAATAAGTGCACTCCATGTACATGGGAAGACATATTTATCTGATGCGATGTCTATATTTATGTGGTTCCACTTCGTGCTTGTGCTCATCATTCACCTGGATCTTGATGAGAATTGATAGGTAAGCACTGACAGCGAATTAGGTCGGAAAGGGGTCCATTGCAACTTGGTTCTCGCGCATATCTGGGTCACATTCATCCAAGGTATTAATGGCAATAGTACTTTCTCGTAAATCTCACAGTGGAGTCTCTTTAAATGTGTGAATTGCTACTCAGAGTACTGCGACTGCAAATCCTCCTTTTCAATTGTACTTTTGCAACGTAGAAAATGGGTGAAATGGGTGAAAAGGTGAGAAATGAAAAGGCCAGAAAGAGAGAAGCAAGGGTAGCGAAAAAACGATGCTTAAGCCAGTATACTCGCATCGAGGCATGTGGATCTCATGCAAAAACTGACAAATACTTCATGAGTGGCGCTGTCTACAGTGACTTAGTTACTCGTATGGATGGAGTACATGTAGCATGGCTAGTAGGATCATTCGGTCGCACCGAATCAGTTCAGCTTCGACTCAATGACAGGTCCACTGATCTCCACATGGTTCCTGCAAGATCTATATCAATGTTCCGTCATTATTTAACCGAACCGGTTGTACTCCGTTGTCAAGTTACGCTCAACACTTTTCCGATACTGCAACGATTCAGGCGTAACCACGGAACCATGCTTCACGTGGTTGAAGAGCCTCAGAAGTAAAATAAAAAAAGTTGCATCATTTGCATCCAGCATTCTGGGCGTCTTTGGCTTGCTCCAAAGGGAGTGGATTGGGGTGCGGAGTCTGGAGCAACTCAATTAGTGTAGGTATTCACTCGCTTCGGTGGCTCGAAGTATTTGGGATACTATTCCGTACGTTTTTCTTGGCCTTCCAAGTACGGTGTGAAAAGATATCAACAATCTAAAAGCCCGGGCATTTTAAAACCAAGGTATACTAATGCATGAATCATTTTTAGCATGGATTACAGAGTAGGGCGTATAGGGCCCTCCTCTTTGAAATGTGTACAATTTACATGTCCCTGTTAACCAAGCCCCCTTCGCTCCCAGTATACTCTTGCCAGGGTGCGTTTCAGATGATAGTTACACATTTAGAAACATGATGTTTCAAAGTTTCAAGTTCATAGATAAATATAGAACCGTTCGCAGCCCCCAACTTCTGGCCGCTACAGCAATGATCACCGCACCGCCTTAATGACGCAGGGGCTAGCCCCAAATCAACCTTGGCTGAAACATGCAAACGTGATATCTATACCGTAGAAATGGTTCAAAATGATATAAATTGTATGATAAAATGGTATGATGTATAATAAAGTGAATAATGGCATAATGGTAGGGGCCATGCAGATATACGCCTGTCAGATCCCACGCTGATCGTGACATTCATGAGTGTAAAAAGAAGGGCTCAAAGACAAAAAGGGCTGGTCTTATAGGAAATAAAATAAAGAGAAATAGAAATGCAAAGGAGAAATAGCAAGGAAAAAGGGGGAAATTTCCGAAATCTAGATATACTCATCATCCTCAAAATCCGTATCCAGAGACTGAGCTCGGGCTCTTTTTCGAGAGATTTTAGGGGTGGTTGGAGTAGTGTGAGCAGGATCGGACATTGCTGAAGGCGTAGCACTTGCGCGATCTCGACGCTGTTGTTTTGTTTCAAGTAGTCGCATTTGAGCTTTGCATGCATTCGGAGAGTAAAATCTCGTAGCGCCCATTTCTTTGATCTAGAACCAGAATATGTTAACGCCTTCCCAAAAGCCTTTTCGGACTTGCTAGATCTTACCATATCTGATAGGGCACGGTACTTGTCCCTTTCCCAAAGTTCATGTGCTTGAATAAGGAGCTGGACCTAAATTGACACATGTATTAGACAAATGATCCAAAAAGTAATAAGACATTCCCAAGCACGTAGCTTTCAAGGTCATGAATAGTGCAACACATACTCACATCTGACTCGTCCCAACGCGCGACTCGCTCTCGCTTCCGACGGAGATGACGCATCTGCAAGCGCGCCTCGGAGGCATCTTTATTGAAATGCTGCATGAACATATCACGGATAACCTTCCAAGCAACGCCCTGGTCTCGCAGCGTCTCTACAAACGAATCCTCGTCTTCGGCTTGGGGATCACGACGTCCGCGACCAGGAGCACGAGGCCGAGGCGGGATCTGTGGAGAAGGATGGCCATACATGCGCTCGCGCTCCATTTGCCGCATGCCCTCTGGGTTTGGGGCAATGTTGATTGGCTGGTCACGGGGTGGTTGCTGCGAAGAGGTGCGTTTCGCGCGCTTGGGTGGTGGAGCTTGGGGGGACATGTTCGGCGTTCGGTCCATGCCCATCAGGGTGTTGTCTGGGGCGTACATGTAGCTGGCATTTGGTGCTGAGGTCCGAGGGAATTCACTTGGGAATGGGGCGCTGATTCCCAGGCCTTGTGGTGCTGAGATAGATTCATTGATGCTGTATTGGTATTCTTGTGTGTGGTAGTCCTGTGAGTGGTGACTGAGTGCTGGACTTGGTCGAAATGAGCTATCCGGGAGACTGATTGGGGTCAGGACGCTTGGTGGGACTAGAGGCTCTGTGCAATATTGAGGATTGACTCCCATGAAAGGGGACTGTAGTATTGCACGGTCAGCTTGGTTTTGGATCTATACAAAGTCTCGACAAATTGCATACCGCGTCTATGGGCCAATTAGCCGGTATACCTTCATAGTACTCCCGCAACTCTTCCGAGCATGGGACCTCAGGACGACGAGACATGGTTCTGACTGGTTGCCCTTGAAGATGAAACACGCCTAGTAAACCACCGTCCGCTGTGTTGTCTGAGTGGAAGATAGACGCCGAGGCCACAGATTGTGAAACAGGAGATGAAACTCCACGCAGGGGAAAGTGTGGAGCTGCAGCGGCTGGAAGAGGTAGATGGTTGGATATAGTCTTGGTTGTAAATGTATATCAAGAGGCTTGAATCCGAGGATGTTTCTTGGGGATGAGAAGATTCACATTTCCAACTGTCGACGGCTGCAGATTTTATAGATTCATCCGGTCGAAAAAAAGAGGGGTGCTTAGAGCGAGATAGATGCACCGGTCTGCCTGGTATACTCCGCTTTGAGCGATATCACAGCTGGCACCCGGGATGCCTTGTGAGGCAGGATGTGAACTGTAGTCTGGAGGTGTTAACTATAGGCTCAGAGAGCACCAAAATCGACCTCAGTACCGCCGAGGAGCGCTGTACCGCATTGGAACATGGGAAACTCCAGCAAAGACTCGACGAGGGCCTATATTTAAGCGCTGCGGATCCGATAGTCTAAGTGTTGATATCCAGCGCGGTTCCGCCCCCATCCTACACCCCGGAAGGGGCTCAGACTCTGCATTGTGAAAAGAAATTGAAGTATTTCTATGACTTCAGACCCACCGCGACGGGTCAGAAAAGAAAACAATTAATCTTTCTCTCCACTAAATCAAATTGAACAAGAAAACCGGGGTGGGTTGTAGGGGGTCCATGTGGGCGATCCCGCTCTGGGCGCAAAAGAGACAAAGCGTAGCGCTTAACGTAGTTAGATTCCGTAGTGATTTGAGATTGCATTTGGCCCCCAAAAATTGATGGCCCCATAGCATGACAGTTTCTCTGATGTTCTGACGTTCTGCATGGCTGTCAGCCTTGCCTATCTCGCCTTAATGATATTTCGGCAGCCCGAGCAGCCCCAAGAGCAGCCCCCGGGATAGATGCAAATCAGTCACAGCCTTCATCTCGTGAAGACCATGGGAAGGGATTATGATCCTTCCAGGGCAGCGGGCGTTGTTCACGGGCGGCTCTCGACTGGTCAAAGATCAATCCATGTGTTCGAGGCTGAAAGCTCCGCGAGCCGCTTGGTGGCTTTGTCCACGGAGAATTCATGACCGCTGGTTACGCGCTCATGCAGACACCCGACGAATCCCCATTATTCCCGAAGGCGCAGAAGAACTTTCTTTGCGTGGTGCCAATGATGAAAACATTGGCAGATCGTCGGATCTGGCTTGGCTCCGAGCAAATCAGGGGCTTTTTCCCGTCTCCGTAGCATATCCCCACAGAGAGAGGTGTTCGGCGCATCCTACTGTAAGCGCCAGGCGTGTCTGGACCTTGGACTCATCATCACAATGTCAGCAATGTAACTGTTGGATAAATGATAGCTCCAGGTAAGATGCGTAGCTGTCAGACGCCAAGCTCGCTATGAGCATGCAGTCTAGGGTGTCGAAATTGCACAGGTCGTAATCGCCCCCAAACATTGAGGGCATGTACTGCAGTCTACAGGTCGTCAACCCCCGTCATGTGATCAATATCGAGAGTCTTTCCCACTGGGAAGTGGGCTTGGGGCCACAGGGGGCTAGTGACATCAAATCAGCCTGGGGTCACATCGTGCAACGGTGTGGCACAGATAGCCCCAAATCTTGGGGCCATTAATATTCATTTTCTAGGCCTATCTAGACAATCCCCGAAATAGCAAATGAACATCTTGGAAAAAAAAATATGGATATCAAACCCCTGACCAGAAGACTAGAAAGGCGGATCTCCCGTGCATTCCATCCATTTACAAGCCACTGGGGGCTATTGCTATGCTTCAGAAATAACGGCTTTACTGAGGTATATCTCAAGGGGCGGTAATAGGTGTGGCAAATCATCGTTAATGAGAGGTGTTGGCACGGCGCTCGTCGGTTTCCTCGTCCTCATCTCCCGAGAATCCGTCTAGGCTGTCCTCATGACGGTGACCCTTGCCGTGACCATTCTGGTCCAGCGTATCGTCAGCGGCAACGGAGATCCCCCGCGGGCCCCATCGATTGTGATTTGAGTGACTGTCCACTCCTTCCTCCTCATCTTGAAGATGTTGCTCTTCGTCTGCAGATTGTCGCGATGCCCGGAAGTTCACTACTCGGTTCACCAGCCAGCTGTTTCCATAATCCTCGGAGTCAACAACGCCGCCATTTCGGAGCTTGACGCGCTGGCGCGAATAGTACACCCAGGCGAAGTCCACATAAAAGGCGGTCTGCACAACGCCAAACACGACCGAGATCCAATCATCAAAGCGGCGCTCCGTAGCCACACGCACGATCCAATTGAGGATGTAGAAGGCTCGGTACGAGCCCAGAGTGAGGAGGTAATATGAGTCGATCACCGTTGGGACAGTGGTCTGGCGGAGTAGAAGAAGCTGCGGCAATACACACACGGATTCCAGGATGATGGAGAAAGCCCAGCAAGTCTATCGGCTAGATTTAGTGAATGTTCGTATTTTTGATTGGGAGCGTTCTTTCAACCTACCTCCATGAACCAGTTTCGAGGGTACCCGTCTCTTTCGAGAATCAGGATCGCGATGGGTGCCATTACAAAGGACCCAAGTGTGGACCACATGCCAAGCTTCCAGGCTCTCTCCCTCTCTCGTGTACGTGGGTAGACCTTGAATATCAAGAAGATCAGGTAGAAAGACGAAATCAGGTAGAAAAGCTTGAAGGAAACATTATAAGCAGTGTGCCATGTCCCAAACCCTGACCATGTATAGGATGAGAAAAGGTCGAGATAACGGAAAACAAAAACGATGCCATAGAGAAGTTGCGTGAGAAGTGAGACTCCTATAAGAAAAAATTGTGTCAGTGGTCTCTGTATGTTATCTCCAATTGGAGTCGAACAAGGGCGTACGGACCTTCGGCACTCTTATTCTTGTGGATTGCCCAGATCAGGACGCATACCGAGCCCAGATGGAACAAGTCACCGATGATACGAAATGCATTCCACGAACCCATGGTTTGGAGAGTGTAGATGAAAGATCACGTAGTGAAAGAGACGCGGGGGTGGGTGTGGACACCTGTCAGGCTACCACCATTGAGGTCGGTGCCAAGTATCTGGCTGGGAAGGTCGAAAGCTTTTGAGGGATCTGACCTAGATGATACCTATTCTCTGCGTATATATGGTCCAGAAAGCTTGATGAAGAGGTATAATCGAAAGCTGAAGGTCCTCGAGCTGGAGTCCTGGGGGAGTTCGTTATCGGCGATCCACATGAGCTTGGACCGCGCGTGCCTTCACGTGACATTTGACGTCAGGGCGTCGATCAACCGTTGCACCAGAAGCATGTCTATAGGAGCTTGGTGGGCTATTGTTCCTATTGCTTGGTTCTTGGCATGTGCTATTTATTAGCTTCAGGATATGTGGTCATAGTAAAAAAAGCCTCCGGAGCTCAACCGATATATATATTAATCAACTTAACTTGGCACGGGTTTGCTATTAAGAAGATTTATGACATGTTTCTTGATTTCACATACAGCGCAGACACTAAAAAAGCCACTGGAAAAGTACAGTTCGAAAAGACTGGCAAAGATGCGGGGGCGTTGAGGAACAAGTACTAGTTTACTTAGGGCACACGACTTCCATCCCCTAGCTATCTAGGTTGTTGAAAGTTAAATCGAGGCTCTTCCTAAGCTTCTAGAGTGATACCAACCAGCTAGGATTCCAGTTTAAATTGCGATATTGGCTATTTGCTCTTACGCGGTTCGAGGCCTAGATGCTCCAGGTGACGCAGGTGACGCGGTAAGATTCCCAATTTGGACGATCTTGCTGTAGGATTGACAATCTCGCATACATAGAGGTTTTGGCTCATTCTGCGAAAGCCTTCACCTGGCAATAAAGCGGTACAATCTAATAATCCAACGGGATAACATTGTTAGGCATTCAGGGAGTTTGATGAAATACAAACTGCTGGTTAACTGTACCTGTGCGCCTGATAATGAGAATAAGGTGTCCATTTGTCTCAAGCTAGATAGTTTCCTGGGATTGACTTGAGCGGGCCATAGTATCTGATAGCGTTAACTTCGAAACGGTCAACCCTTCTCTGTTTATGAAATTAGGCGATGCAAGTCATAGTTAACGTAGGTATGCTTGGCGCTGTCAGTCCGCATGGGAATAATGCCGCATCAAGCGCAATTTAGCACACCTGATCTTTTGCGTGCATAAAATCTAGTCAAATGGAGAGTTTGAATGATCGCAACTTGAAACCCTTTACCCTCTCAATTGGCGATCACAAGAAGATCAGCAGTCCTTATCAGCCTTGTCATAAGTAATGACAATTGCCACAGATTGGACATTGACCAGGGTGGTAATGTGTGTGACAAAAGCTATGCCGGTAAGTTGTTGAGAGGCTGGACCTCTAGAATATATACATGCCTTCATTCAACCCCGCGCCGTACGCAGGCAGAAAACTGCTGACAGGGACCTTCCCATTTTCAGAGCATGCATATACTAGACAAAGACTTTGCATGGGGTCAAGAGAGGGGAATAGGACTTGGTGGCTTCAGGCGAAACCGTGTGGCTGATCTAGCCCGCCAAGTCTCGGGTTGGACGGACACTTCTACTGAATATTGGCACTGCGGGATGAGCTCCCGGACCATTGGATGACTTTGCAATAATCAGGCCCTCGGGCGGTGTCGTTGACTCGCATTGGGCGTGTCCTGTCATCCTCGCACGGTGTTGTGAGATCTCGCCGGGTCACCGGATTCTGGGACAGGCCACTCGCGGGTCTCTTCGGCCCAAATGTCTCATGGAAGCTGCCGGACGTGCCCAGCTTTGCTTCTGCATCTTGTCGCCGGCCGAATTGGAGCACAGCACGAGCCATGATTTGTGACAGGCCCCCTGTCCGGGCATCGGTTCCTAGGCCAGGGAAGAACCTGTGGAATGCACCGGAGGGGTTGGAGGCGCATTTGAATCGACACTGACTTCTATTTAGATGCAGTATCTACAGTATATAATTGAACATAAAGGAGTAGATGTAAGATGTAGGAAGGTAAGAAGTAAGAACTAATAGCGGGGAGGTAAGAGGTTGAGGGGGTAACAGACCAATGTAGTCAATAATCAAGAGAAATGACAGTGATATTCTAAAAGAACAACTTACACATTCTAGAAAAGTAATCGAATAAACTATTCAACTATTCAACTGTTCAACTATTAAACGACTAAACTATTCAAATGGTGAATGTTGTGATATGAGGTGACTCCATCCCCGCTCTCTTCTGTGTCTGCCATTTCTCTCTCTTCTCCTCTTCTCTCTGTAACCTTGTCTCTCTCTCACTTGTCCTCTTTCTCCCTCTCTCTTCCTTTTCCCTGACCTGTCTCTCTTTCTCACTTAAGTCAACATTCTCTTCCTTCCAGCCTCATGTTCTCCCCGTATTCGGAAGAATTCGAGGTCCCCGAATCGACGCTTCGACCATGCGATTTTGACCTGTGAGCCCAACCTCTCTTGACTCTCTTTCCCCTCTATACACTCCGATCGGGGTCTGGAACTTTCCTATGTCGCGAGATACACCTTTCCTCTGTCGCTGTCACCCTTTGTCAATCTGGTTCTGCCTGGGGTGCGCCTGTGTCATCGTCTTTGGTGTAACGCTTTCCGACCAAGGCGCGCCAAGTACCAGATCCTGCTAACCCCCCCCCCCTACGCGGCCTTTTTGTATGTGCAGATGAATCGACACAGTGTGATTGAAAACTGCATGTGTCTTTCACCATGTCGTAAGTCCCTTCGTCTGTGATCTCCGTCCGGCCTCCAGCTGTGGGAGGGAGACTGGACTGGATTTGGCACTGGGTCGCGTTTTCGTCACATTTCTGCCTCACTACTCATGTATGATCGCTTCACTTTACTGACTCGTCGCTACCCCATCAGTTCTCCCCCGAACTCAAAGCGTATCAAGACCTCGGCCACCACCAGCGCTCCGCCTCACATGCTCGCTCAACAACAAATCCATCCTTTTCATCGTGTGCCGACCTTCGAAGGCATTCCCATCCCTACTGCGCCGATACCTACTCAACAATCGCACGGGACGTCGCGCAAGCGCCCACCTTCTCCCGCGACAGGATCGTCCATGATGGCTGCCCCCGTGAATCCGGCGGGCGGCGCGATCGAGGGCGACCCGAACGCTTTCCCCCAAGTCGAGTCCACGCCCAAGAAAAAGGGGCGGACGAATACTCCGTGGACTGCCGAGGAGGAGCAACGGCTTAAGACTATGCGCGACGCAGGCCGAAGCTGGTCCGAAATCGCAAAGGTGCGCGCGCGCGTCTTTTCTAATTGAAGCTATGGGTTACTGACCTTTTGTTTCTCGCCCATCGCAGACTTTCCCAACCCGTACCGAGGGAAGTGTCAAGAAACACTGGTACAAGGTACGCGACATAAGGTGTCCCTGATAATATGACGTGTTTCACTTACATTCCCTGCAGGACATGCACTACGCCGAATTCGCCGAAGATGAGGTATGATCCTGAGTTCTTTAATGTTCGCCGCATCACCCGCTGACGCCGCACAGTCTATGAAACTTCGGGAAGCCATCAAGGAGTATGAGGCAAACAAGTGGAAGGTAATCGGTCAGAAAGTCGGCAAGCCAGCCAAAGTGCGTATAGATGGGAATCCGATATTGCGCATTCAAACTGACCAACTTGCAGGCCTGCGAACAATATGCCAAAGAGCATTTCAAGAACGTCTGACCACTATGGCTCCTCTGATGAAGTGATGATCTCGTTTTCTTAGCATCTTTTTATGAAGTTGGCATTCTCTTCCGGATTCCCGTTCCAGAGCGATGCAAGTTACATCAATGGCCGGAGGCCACTGGTTTTACAAGGCAGATGGAGTTGGTGATCTGGATTTCTTTTTTTGATCTTGTTTTCAATCCGCGCAATGAACTATGAACATGCGCAATGCGTCGTTTTTGCGTCAAGGCGTTGCCCTTTTTTCTTTTTTAAGCGCTTGGGACCTTTTTGCGCTGTGTTCCTCAATACCATATGATTCCCCAGTAACTAGGAAATTGCAAGGCAAGAAATGGCCTAGACTTCTGCACGTACATGTAGATCAATGGAGGCGGAAAAGTAAACGCGGGCGATCTTTTTTTTTTCTTCCCCGCGGCCTTCGGCATTCGACCCGTCTTTCCCCAACTCCCCGTGAGTCACCTATCTTCTTCAATTGTGCGATTTTGAATTCCATTCGGTTTCAAGGTGAAATACATCTCCAATCTACTGAGATCGAGCCTGCTAACGCCTCCGGGATTCACAGTGACTCGAAGGTGACACAATCTCTTCCCCAAGACCACCACGGTTACCATGAAGACGAGTAGTGTGGCATTGTTCGAAGATCAAGGTATATAGATGCGCCATCTGCATGGAGACCGGTGTTCGACATATCGTCGTTCTGAGAATATACGGTTGAACTTGATCTGGATAATTCCAGCGAAAGGACTCATGCGCGCTTTTGCTCCCCTCAACAAACCAGCGATACTAACCTGTTTCGCAGCATGGCCTCAGAAATCCCCACCCTAGCGGTGCATTCCAATAAGGAAGACCCGACATACGAGTCTAAGAAATCCGGCGTCGTGAGCAAGGATGCAGAGACTTATGATGAGCCCTCTGCTAATCGCCACAACCCCGTCGGATCGCGATTGGGCTCGCTCCTCAGGTCGTTCGAGCAACAGCTCGTCGAGTATAACCTGGAAGCGCGAGGTATTGAGCGTGTTGCAGCGCATGAGCGCATGAAGCGAAACTCGTGGGTTTCGTATCTGCAGGCATTCCTACTCTGGGTTTCGATTAACCTTGCGCCCAATAACATTACACTCGGGATGCTGGGGCCTGCGGTGTATGGCCTCAATTTCCGAGACTCGGCGCTCTGTGCTGTGTTTGGTGCTCTTATCGGTTCCCTGGTCTCCTCTTGGATGGCGACATGGGGGCCTGCGTCGGGCATTCGGACTATGGTGCGTTTCACATATGGGACTGTCACATCAATTCGGAGAAAACTAATTGGTGATAGGCTTTTGGACGGTATTCAATGGGCTGGTGGCCTAGCAAGATCATTGTCTTGTTGAACCTGGTTCAGATGATTGGGTATTGTTTGATTGATTGCGTCGTGGGTGGTCAGATCTTGTCTGCCGTGTCCCCAGGGGGCATGTCGGTGGCCGTCGGTATGTATGCTGGGGAATTTTGATTAAGTTAGTTGTACTGACTGTGATAATACAGGCATTGTGATCATTGCAGTCATCAGTTGGGCAGTGGCGACATTTGGTATCCAAGTCTTCCATTTCTATGAAAGGTTCGTTTGGAACGTGATATTGACATTTCAAGTGAGTCACTAATAGGCATTCTACCAGATTTGCATTTGTGCCCCAAGTCATCGTAGTCTGCATCCTTTTCGGAGTCTCATCGACGAAATTCGACTTGTCAACCCCTCCCACAAACGAAGATACCCGGACTATGATAGGCAACAGGTAAGCCCAGAAGCCTAAAACCCAACATCCATACCTAAGTCTAACAATATAAACACCAGGCTATCCTTCTTCTCCATCTGCCTAAGCGCCGCGATCACCTACGCCCCTCTAGCAGCCGACTTCTTCGTCTACTACCCAGAAAACACCTCACGCCTGAAGATCTTCAGCCTAACCCTAGCAGGCCTCATCTTCTCCTTCACAATGGCCCTAGTCTGCGGCATAGGCCTCGCCACCGGTATCAACATCCACCCAGAGTACGCAACGGCCTACGATAAAGGCCAAGGCGCCCTAATCGTGGAAGGATTCGGTCCCCTCCACGGCTTCGGCAAGTTCTGCTCCGTCATCTGCGCCCTAGGCCTGATCGCCAACACCGTCGCGCCCACCTACTCCGCCGGCATCGATTTCCAGATCCTCGGCCGCTATGCCGAGATGGTTCCGCGCGTGATCTGGAACACCATCGCTGTCATTATCTATGTTGTCTGCGCTCTTGTTGGCCGCAGTCACCTCTCTGAAATCTTTACTAACTTCTTGGCTTTGATGGGATACTGGGTTGCGATTTGGATTGCTATCATCCTCGAAGAGCGCTTTATCTTCCGTCTTCGGACGGGATATAACTGGGCTATTTGGCGGGATCCGTCCAAGCTGCCTATTGGTGTGGCTGCTTTTATTGCCTTTGTTGTTGGTTGGGTTGGGGCTGTCTTGTGTATGGCTCAGGTTTGGTACATTGGACCCATTGCCAAGTTGGTGGGCGCTTATGGTGCTGATGTGAGTGATATCACGTCTATCGGTTGAGTTTCCATTTCTTTCCTTGGTTCTGATGCTAACCCTCTCGCTTATCAGATGGGAACTTATGTTGGCTTCTTTTGGGCTGCCCTTGTCTACCCGCCTCTGCGGTACATCGAACTCCACTTCATAGGCCGTTGATATTGCCATGGAGGAGACATGGTAAACCTATTGAAACTCTTCTGGTATATATGGGAGCTTCGTTTGATAATTATGCATTGTGTATTGATTGTTATTTACGCATTTCTGCCTATTTAGCATTTTGATAGAATATTCAGACTATACAAAGGTGATGTTGGTGTTTGATTAATAGAAACCTATGTGCTAGATTGAAACGAATGAGCATAGAATAATTGGAATGCTTTCTATAACCATAGTGCCTTGGGCTACCATCCCACAATCGTTTCCTGTGATATGATTATCCCGTTGCAACGTTGTCAGTTGTCTAAACAAGAACACGAAAGACCCCACCTCATACTTCATCTACAAACAAAATACCACCCATCCGAGATCGAGGATGCATATAAAAAGTAATAAAACCCCACAATACTCTCATTTTCATCCACTAGAGCACTATTCTACAAAAGAGACAGACAAGTCACGGAGACAGAACAGGGAGAGACACGCAATAATGTTGACACTGTATTGGAATTCCCATGCCAGAACCAAAAGGGTAGATCGTAGACCCCACGCAAGCAAATAGCGGTATTAAACATTTACCGGTACCAGTACTCAGGCTTGACGTAGTCGGCGAAGGTCTTGGGCTCGACGTGAGGGGGGTGGTGGTGACCGTGGTCGTGGTCGTCTAATGAACGGAAAGTTAGCATGCTGATTCATATAGACAAATAGCAAGTCCAGAGGAAAACATACGGGAGTGGGGGTCCTCCTCGGGTCCGACGTAGTTCAGCTTGACGACGTTGCCGCACTCCATGCAGCGCTCGATGGGGCGCTCACGGGAAACCTGAGGTGGTTGATGTTAGTCTCGAGGGGTTGGAGATGCGGCCTGGTCGGCTCGGATTGGATAGGGCGGTCATACGGTCAGCCAGTTAACCTGGTGGGAGTCGACGGGGAAACCAGTGCAGCCGGCGTATTGCTCATCACCAGCACCGGAGACGATGATGGGATCCTCAAGTATGCCTGTATAAAGACGATTGTTTGATTAGCTTATGTCGATGACTTCCTTCGAATGTAAGATCATGCGATCCGCGGGAATTTCGTCATTCGAAAATTGCGATAGAATTGCGGAAGACATACCCTTGCGGGAGGCATCAAGGGGACGCATGTCAAAAATGTCAATGCCCTGCATCTTTCCGATGAGTTCCAGACGCTCGAGACCGGTGGACTGGTCGAGATCGGTGGGAATGGTACCGGGCTTGGCGCCCGGAGGGAGAAGGTCATCCTCAACCTTGATCTCTATATGCCAGCAAGAAATAGTAGTTAGTATTATGTTTTGGGAGTTTCAATTTGAGATATAATGGCAAGCTTGGGTCATCACTCGGAAAAAGTATCCATACGACCGACATCCGAGGTTCCACGACGTTCAATTGTACAAAGGAAGATGCACCGAGCGGTCGAATAGAGAATCCTCGAGCCAGCATGGGCCATTGGTTGTCATAAGATCAGGTTCAACACTCACCCTCGAAGGTCAGGATCTTGCCCTCCGGCTTAGGAGTCCACTTCTTCTCGTTGGCTGTAAATATTTCGCGTCAGTCAACGGTAGTTGAGCAATTCAGTGTATTTAGGTCGTTATAGCACGCAAAAAGTCAATTGGAAGCCAATTGCGTCGGGAAGCGCGGGGGTTGAAGCATGCTCGGATCATGCCATATGGGAGTCACGTACAGCGAACGATGGAGGAAGAGAAAGGGCGCTGGGCGAGGGTGAAAGCGCGGGCAGGCGAGCGCCTCGCAAGGGCGGAGGCTGTACGTTGGAGGAACATTGTCCTGGAGGAGATGGACTGGATGACGCGGGCGTTTGGGGCAGGAAAGAGGGAGTTTGGAGGTTTGAGGTTGGGCGAGTTTGAAGCCGCTTTGGCCCGAGCGCCTGTGATTGGTTGACTGACCTGTCCAATCGAACCACAGATAATGATGAGTCATCATAGCTGATTGGCGGAGCTTCACCTGGTGGGGCACAGAGACCAAAGACGCAGATTAGCCGTTTTGGGCCAGTTAGGGCTGCACGGGTAGGGCACGTTGGAAGTATAGCTGAAGTATAGACAAAAAGAACGTTATAACTCTAGAAACAGGCCCTTTACCATACAAATCCCCCATATATCATTGCAAATGCAACTCTTGCTCCTGCCCTTACATCTTTCGTTTCTTCCCTTGCGTCTTTCGCTTCTCTTTCATCTCTCGCTCCCGCTTTTGCACCTCTTCCTCCTGGTCCTGGTCCTTATCTTGTTCCATCTTTTGTAACTCCTTGGCCCTTTGCTCACACGCCGCTGCGTAGTTCTTCTGTTTAACCTTCTTCGCTATGATCTGCCATCGCTCTTTCTCATACTCCTCTATTGCCGCGATCAGCTTTTGGTCCTACCATCGCAATTAGCACTCAATTCGGAGAACTTTTCCATGAAGATACACACCAGTTCCACGTCCCATTGCGGCCCCTTTGCACTTGCTTCCTTGCAGTAATGTACTTGTAAGGTGCCTGGCGCTCGACCAGGGAAAAAGTCCGCAATCTGCCTCCAGGTCAACCCGTCGTCCTTGCTCCCCAGTCGATAGGGGTCCTTGCAATCATGTTTTAGCTGTCTCAAGATCTCGTCATCCTCCAGTGTGAACTTTTGCTTGAATTCGCATAGTGGCCGTGGGTCTGGCATCCCATTCATTCCTACCACACTTTTATGGTTTGTTGGTTTATTTGTTGCTTGGGATTCATTCTCCTGCTCATCCTGTACCCCTGAGAGTCGTGGCATCGTGTGTTTGTGAGAACTTCCCATAGATGGCATATATTCATTGTCCCTAAACCGGTGGGAAGGTTCGGGATTGTCCTGTATCAATGGTGGTATTTGAGGTGATATCTCTGCCTGCAGGCTGTCCGACATACGAGGAGTATTCCATTGCACCCAATATTGATTGTCGTATTGAGCCTGATTTTTGGTGTCCTGGAATTGGGTCGGGTGTGGAAGCTGAAGCCCCGGGAAGCGTGTAGTGTCATTAACAGAGGTGAAATGAGGTAGTAGCGACGGCAAATGCGACGGATTCGCTTGATGGGGGTGAGTGTATTCGGTAGGCTGGTCATGTTGTTGCAGTTGATGTGAATTGTAGTAAACATTATCGGATGTATCTCCCACGGGAGCATTTTGATGATAGTCCATAAATCCGTTGTAGTATCCGGTATTGTTCGCAGGCATGTACCGAAAATGGCGGGATCTGCGGTCCCAACAAGTCCCTCTGCTGTAAGTTCTAGGACGAACGGCCAAGGGTATATTATATCACAGGGATCAATTCTAGGGAAATGAGATAGCAGCCAAGGCCTGCTGTCACATAAGATATTTGTGGAGAGCGGACGTGCCCCTGTGGATGTAATCAGAACAAAGGATAGAAACGACCTCTAGCTGCAATTGATTAAGTGCAGACAGGGTAGGTTTACTTTGAGAATGCCAAATTGCAGGACTTGCAGCCAGGGAGGTTGTTCAAGCGTAAGACATGATAGAGTAGAGAATGAGGGACTTGGATATTTAACTTCTAGAATCAAAAAATCAAAGCCGGACAAGGTATGTCTTTAAATTCAAACGACATCTTTTGGAAATCTCCAGCCTAACCAAGAGAGAGAATCCCAGGCGCACCGATGGCCAACTGGAGCGTGCGTTACCGGCTGATTTTCACCAATCTCCAGTGGACCAGACTGCAAGAAGGAACTGTCGCAGATGTTCAACAGCGGCAAAACTCCTCTGTGATAGACATCCATCAAGTTGCGTTTCATCAGTCGAAAGATTTCGACGGGAGTGATCTCTTTTCGCACAGACATCAATTCTTCGAGGGGTTCAAGGGACTTTGCTTGTGGAAGCGGCAGGACTGCCACAAGTTTTGTTTGCAAATCCAGGGGGCCAAACACGAAACAAGTTATGGACCAGGGTATGCTAGGGCCATGAACAGTCAGGAAAACTCGACATATGACGCCCGTCAGCCTTTAACCGGAGGCATGCGGAGGTATCAAGCAGCATCTCATTCGCTGATGTGATCTTCTAGACAAGCGCGCCGTATTGCCGGGAGCGAAGTGGACAATATGGCATCTGCTGATGGAATGGTATAGGTTAGTCGAGTAAGCGAAGAGAAGCCATTTGTCCAGTGCGCCGGGTTTCCTCGGAGCCAAGACTGCGCAAGTTCAGAGGTCAGAACAGAAGAGCAGGGGTTGAAACAATGGTGATCAGCCCGGCAAGACGAGATTTGCGTTTGGGCCTGAAATTTCCTCCAAGTTGGGAGAAGTGGGAAGGAAAGAGAAGAGGAAAAAGACAAGGGTTCAAAGCCAACAATGGGCAGTCCGGACCATACGTAAGATGTCATTGGAGGAAAGTGCCAGTTTGCGAGTCAGTCACATCAACTTGTTGCGCCACACCAAGCCCGTTTTTTTTGTCAAATCGCAGTGCAGAGCTAGGATTCGGATGGACTACCGAGTTCTTCTAGCTGCATGCGGGCCGTCATCTGTCAATAACTCTGACCCTTCTGATGCATGGAAGCGGGATAGAGAGGAGCTTATGCAGGCTGCGAATGGTGGGCGATTTCGATAGTCACGCAGGTGTACTTATTTCTTTGTTTGTCGGGTTTTGCACATGGCCCTCTCCCACGCGTTTTGGGCGAAGGAGAAGCCCAGCTTAGATGTTGGGCTGAGTGGCTCAGCGCATATTGTTCCATGACCAGGTGGGCGCCTGCTGTAGTAAGCCTCGATCACATCGCGGCAATCCTCGGAAGAACTCATAGTCATGATTGGGGATGTGTGGCTGCCCTGCCAACTAGTGGATCTATATGCATTGCAGAGCAAACTGCATCCTCGTATACATGGGAAAGAAATAAAATAGAAATGATTTCACTGATAAACAGGGAATGCAATTCGCCAATAACTCGTACTATACAAAAATCCACACATCTTGCTTTTCCTTTAGCCTGGGTTCTCGCTGCAATACATGAATTAAGGTTGTCGTGATACAAGCCAAATAAAAAATAAAAAAACAAGTGAAAATAGTAAGGAATACAGACACCCGGGAAATAGAAACAGAAACTTTGCAACGCCTGACCAGCTGCGTTTGTTTACGCAAAGTTGTCAGACCGATCCACCCAAATATCTTCCAACTCAGCGAAGTTCTGGAAGTGAAGAGGGCGGTGTTGGTCGTCGTAGAACTTGAGCGGGGTGTCAATCTTGACGTAAACAGGCCGCTTCTCCACGCTACCGAAGGAACTACCCATGAAGCTGTAGTTCCAAATATTGTCTTCGGGCACCAAGAAATAGCCGCGGATCTTGTCACTGAGTAACAGCTGACACTTCTCACCCATGTTGGTAGAGAAGCCCTGTGGCTGATCCGAGGTCGTGTCCTTGTTCTCAGCACCCCACTTGTAACCTTGAGGAGTCAGACCCCAAGCGGCAAGTGAGACGGACCCAGGAGTGAAGGAGACAGTCATGGTCACGGTCTTCTTATCCCAAGATGGATGCGCGTTCATGAGTCGGGCATGATGCGTGACATCCGCTGCAGACATGTACGGCGGCTCATTTCCTGAAACCGTGTGGATCACACCGAGCGGCTCCAAGTTCTGGAGGTAGTCATGTTGTGGCAGTTGGTGAGGGAGTTGGACGTCCCGGGTGTTACCAACTTGGGGAATCATGACAATGGTGCGAACCTCCTTGACCTGGTCGTTGTCCGGCGGAGAGCTACCGTAGATGTAACCCGTAACCTGCACCCGGAGATCGGCAATGGTGATGAATCGCTTGAGGACGTTCTTGGGCATGATGTAGGTGTAGCCCTCGTCGCGGATATCATCAGAAGAGACGTAGATGTTGTTAGACCGGGTCCGGAGGTTGGACGTCGCGATCGCACGAGTACGCCACTCAGTCTTGGATGCAAAGGATTGCTGCTCATACTGAGACGTAGTGGTGACAATAATGTCCTCGCCACGGGCGTTCTGGGTCTTGGTGGTCACGGCGGTGAGCTGCTTTTGCTCCTCCTGCTGCTTCTCGATCTCGGCCGCCTGCTGTCGCTGCAGGGAAGGCGCGCTAATCTCCATACCCAGAATAATATCACGGACTTCACTGCTGGTCAAGCTCTGCACGTTCACATTGTTCTTCCTACCGTAGTCGTTCAGGATCAAATCACGCAATTGCACTTCAACCTTGATCCAATCCTCATCGGAGAGAGAGGGCCAGATGTGGTGCTCCTGGGTGATGACTGTCTTGTCAGGGCGAAGAATGATCTTGGCTTTGTCGATGTTGACGTGGAGGGCTCGGAGAATGAGGATCAGACGAGAGAAGGCAGTGTACGGGGAGATGGATTTGAGCCACTCGTCATACAAGTTAAAGAGCACCATCTGAGGTTCGGTTGCACGGAGAATCATGTCCGCCAGCTTCTCAACCTTCATAGCAGCCTGGAAGGGCAGCTGAAGCTCGGAGGCACGGATGGAAATGTTGGGGAAGTCAAGCAGGTGAACCTCGAGAGGATCAAGAAGACCCTTACGGGTGACAATGAGCTGTTTCGGTTGCTCTTCGACGGGGAGAGACCGAATAAGAGCTGCCACTTCTTCGGCTGTCTTCCACTTGGCCAACTGGCCCAGACGCTTCTGGCCTGCCCAGACACTGGTGTGAATGATCTTCAAGAACAGTTGTCCAGTGCGAGGATTGAAAATGAAGATTGCACCGTTGATGGGCTTCGTAGTCAGGTTACCCTCGAAGGTCTTGTGAATCGTGACACGGTAGACATTAGTGTCGTCAATGAACAACTGAATCTGAGGACTGAAGAGTTCAGAGTAGTTCTGGGAATTGAGGAACTCCTGATTGCTCTCCGAGGCATAAAGTTGCAGACCCTTGCGTATACGTTCACGCAATACATACAGGGCCGGGTTGGCCTTCATGATCTTGGCCATAGCCTGCTGAATCAGAGTTTTGAGACCTGGGAAGTATTGTCCGTAGGCTGAGAAGAGGTTGTATGCAAGATCGATACCGATCATCAAACCAGTACTGGAAGGATAGATGCTCATGCTGTCAGAGGTGTAGTCAAGGTACTTGGCACGCACATATCGTTCAATGTCATGAGAATCATAGTCACCATATCTCAGCTGCACATCCAACCAGAACTTGTTGGTTGTAGTGGGTTCGTAAACATCCTTGGTGTCGAATACCAGGGAAGGCCGAGTAACGTTCCACTTATTGGTCGCGAAAAGGAGGATATCCGCACAAGAGCTGTTCATCTTGTAGGATTTACGCGGGTGGATAGTCTCCTTTTGAACGGCTTCGATACCAAGCTGCTCCAGTTCCTGGTCCAGGACCTGACACAGATCCATAACAACGGACTCGTGAATCTTTTGCCACAAATGGGCACGGAAGATCTGAATCAACGAAATCTTCAACGTTGGGATCTTACCGTGTAGGAAGATACCAGTAAGATCCAGTTGAACCTGGAAACCGACATACACGTTCGCGCGGTTGATAGTCGGAGACCACCACAGAGTAAAGCGGCGGTTCGGAATCTGGTTCAGACCAGACCTCTGGGCATTCGTGAGCTTTTTGAACTTCATGCTATTGAAAAGTTAGCTCAAATATCATTTAAACAGAGACGAAACTAATAAAAGCACTTACCTCTCTTCGAAACCACTGGCTCTCTCCCAAAAGAGACCCTCCCAGGACGGGAAAGCTGTCGCCTTGAATAGGGTGTGCTCCAAAATAGTTTCTACTCCGCCAAGCGCTTGGATGACGTCTGTACGGTAGGCGTTGAGATTCCAAAGTTTACCATCATGTCGCTGACTCGTCCACCAGAACGGATTGCTCTTCATCAGCTGGTACTGTTTGAACTCCGCACGGAGTCGGAAACCCTTGTCGAAGCTGAGGGTGCTTCGGTCCTTCTGGAAGAGGGTGTTGATACGGGGAAGACCACGATCCCAACTGTCTTCCAGATCCTCTAGGGTCAAGCGACGATTTTGCTGCTGAGCCTCCATTCGCTTTTGCGAGTACTCCATCCACACACGCTGGGAGTCAATGAATTCGGCCTCCCAGGGAATGATGTAGCGGAAGATATTTGGAATCAGGGTTTCTTCGTCGTGAGACATACCCGCTCGGAAGTGAGTAATGCCAGTATCCGTCTGTTTGGACCAGCGCTTGTCACTGGTGGGAATGAGGATGTGAGATCCCGAGATCATACCGAGACCCCCAAGCTCCTTGGGTGTGTAGAAGACCGCAGGGGGGAAACGAGACGGCATCTTGGAGTTGAGACCGATCTTGACACGAGTCTGGATCTTAGTCTCACATTTCACAATGGTGTCGAGAAGGTTGACGGTTGACACAGCAGCCTCACGATAGTATGTGAAGAGAGCAATCAGTGCAGTGTTCCACTTGTTGGCGATCTTGGTGAAAGTCGTCGAACCGGAGGACATGAGTATTTGTCGGATACGGTTGTTGAACTTCTGGATATCCTCTTCAGTGACCTGGAGGAAGGCATGCGCCGTACGCTCCTTGGTGGAGTTATCGACCAGAGACCAGACACTGTCCTTAACGGAGAACTCCTCATTCATGTTCCGAATCTTGGGAAGAATGCGGACTTCGAAACCGTTCATGGAGAACAGCAAGTTGGGGTTGTCCTTGCTGTACACGCTAGCGAATGTATCATCCCAGTCAATGGTAGTGATAGATCTCGGGAGACGATTCTTCATGTCCCAGAAGACAGCACGACCAAGGTTGACATCGTGACGCATCAAGCGCATACGACAATCGCGAGGCCAGCACTTCTTGTTCTTATAGCCAATGACGTTTTCGAAGTTAGGGTCCGGATTCTCGGTCAAGAAACGTTGAATCAAATCGCGCGAGTCATCGGCCTGGAATCTGAAGAAGACCCAAATCTTGTCGACGTAACGTGTGTAGAGACGGATGGGGTGTCTAGTCTCGGTGGCACGGTCCCTGAACTGCAAGAAGTCGTTGGGGCTTCCAGGAGGACCAGCCATTTCGCTGGCTCTCTGCAGACCAAGGAGCAACAAATCGATCATCAAACCGTAGTACTGGAACACGAAGCCCGAGAACTGAAGACCACGGATAAGACCATAACTGTTGGTGTGGTTCATATCCTTGTAGCTGAGTTGAACATTGTTCTTCGAGGTGATGTAGTCAGCCAAGTTGTGATCCATGATCAAACGGAGCAGTCGGTTCAACAAGGTGAGATCAATCTTTTCGTAGACCTTGGAAAGCTCGGTTTCGATCATGACGTTGGTCTCTCCCTCGGAAGTTTCCCACACATTGGACAGGTTGTTAATACCTTGGGTCCATTTGTAGGTCAGAAGAGGAGGAACTTCAGAGTCAGAGGGCTTGATCCAAGCAGGGAAGAGATGGCGCTGCTCAGCCTGGTACCAGAGATACTGGTCTAGGTAAGCATCGGTAATCTTTTCGATAGGCTCGATGTCGTAAACGGGGTTGATGTTGTTGTAGTTGTCATTCATGTCGATCTTGACCTCCTTGAAGGCTCTCTGTGTCAGAAGGAATCGCTTGATTCGTGCCAATGTGGTACCGGGAGAGTCATAGGCCTGCTCGATGAGGGCCAATTCCTCTCGTTGACTCTGATTCAATCTTCCCTTGACAGAATAAGACTCACGCAGCCGCTCGAGGGCAAGGATCAAAATTTTGGTGTCGTGCTTGTAGGAAACACTGGGGAAGGGAATCGGAGAGAACTTGCGAGACTCCAGCCAGTGAACCATTGTGGTGTAGATCGCAACGGCTTCCTCGGAGGAAACATAGGGACCATCCTTCAGATAGTTGTGCTGGCGCTCTTGCTCGGACTTGAGCCAGAGACGAGTAAGACGACCCAGGTTCTTTTTTGCAACGGTCTTGTCGACGGTTGCACCACGGCGAATTCTCTCTCGGTTGTAGTGGGCAACAGAAATCCACCAGTCCGCCTTGCTCTTGACGTATCGAAGGATGATGTTCTCAATGGGAGCAGGGAGACCAGGAACCTTCCAGGGGATGTTACTCTTCCAGCACCTCCAAGCCTCGGACAAATGTTGCAAGACAACGTTGACCTTATTCTGCTTGATACCCTCGGGCATCATGTCCATAAGATCGGCCATGACGGAGGCACGCAATTCCAGATCGAAGTGAGATTCCACACGCTGCTTGGTGACGGTCTTGGCGACGCCCTTGCTGTGACGACCCTCAAATTGACGAGAGAGCAAGTTGCCGAGCCAGCGCTCCAGCAAAGGAATAATACCACGCATGAAGAAGAGCCAGACTCTCCAGGCTGGGGCCCAGAAACCACAACCAGGTCCCTTACCGACAGGGCCAGAATTGAATCGGTAGTAGATCAAATGCTTCAGGTCCTTGCAGGAACGGATCTGGTGCATAAGCTTGTACTTGTAACGGTACATACCAGTGAGTTGACCCACATGGTTGAAGGCATATAGTATACCATCTGCAAGCTGGAAGGCATCGATGTTACCCAGGCGGTATTGGACCTGAGCGTCGACAATCAACTTGGTCAAGCGAAGAATCTCTCGCATCAAGTGGAAAGCGTTTCCGAAACGAGACTTCTTTCGCTCCTTGGTTGTCAAAGTCTTGACGGGCTTCAAGTTGAAGTTGTAATCAAGATGAAGATAAGTCAAATTCTTGCGGTGGATCAGCAAGTTAAGCATGTTGAAACCCTGGCGACAGACTTGCAAACCGGCCTCGACCCAGTCGATGGTTGTTTGCTGGAAAAACTTAGTCGTCTTCAGAGTCTTCATGAGGTTCTGTTTGCTCTGGGCCTTGGGTGTGCTCTTGTGTAGCTCATTCAAGACGTAGCTCTTGAGCAGCTTTTGGTAGGAGACCCGGACCTTCACGGGTTGACCCTGCGGGCAGTGCTCCAAGTACCATTGCTTGACCAGTGGCACATCCTGTGCACGAACCATTTTGCCGGACCGCTTATCGAATGGGTGAGGGGCCCACCACAGGGCGATGGCGGACGCGGTGTCCGGTGTGTAGAGTTCCTCGTCGTCAAAGAATGGCTCGACCTCACCTGGCAGCTCAAATTCGTCGTCTTCATTATTGCCGGGTCCGAAGATTTGATCTTCGTGGCTGACTGTAATATTTTTTGGTGCGACAGAGCGGGAAGAGATGGGGTTGATGACGGGGTCGAAGTAGAAAGCGGGGAGGTTAGGGTCTTCGGTGCGAACATAGACCACTTGGGGGTGAGAATACCAAGCGACCTTGACACTTCGGGGTAGGGTGTTATACAGGAAGGGGAAGGTGACTCGGTATTCGGTCCGAATGGGGGCACGGAAGATGATGCGATCAATGGCGTTAAACTCGCTGAAATCCTCGTCGTTAGGGTCAATGTCCTTGTAAAGAGGCTCAAAACGAGGACCACCAGGAATGGCGACGTTGAGGGCCTTGGCTGTGAAGAAGCTGTTAAGGTCGAACATGTGGTAGTAATTTTGGTCGACAACGTCACTTAAAATCTGGTGACTGAGACGATGAAGAGTCGCCATCTGGGGAAGAGAAAGGTTCCACTTCTTGTAGCTCGGGCCATTGACATGGGGTGTATCGAGGAGAGGGCGGTGGTCGTAGAACCATTCGTACACAGCCGCATCTTCTTCCTCGTCGAGCTCCATCTGAATGGGTTCCAGCGGCTCAACATCTTCAATATTTTCCGACCAAGAAAGAGGCGGTTCCTCGTCATCGAACGGAGGGAAGCGCATACGCTTGAAGTGTCGGCGATCGCTCTTCTCCCGACGCATGCACATCCACATCGTTGCCCACTGGGCGTGGAAGACAGGCTCGATGACACGCGGTGTCTCGTTGACCAGCGTCAGACATCCGTTGACGTGGTAGAGGACCTTGACTTCTCTTGCTGACTCCCAGGGCATTGGCATGTTCTCCAATAGCTTCAATACGGCATGAGGCATGAACTTGAGCGCGCCGAGGTAGCTACGCTTCTCGTTGGTGAATTTCTTCTGCGAGACATCACCGATATCTCGTACAATCTTTCGCAAATGCTCTGGAGGCATGTCCGCCTTTTGTGTTTCAACAAATCCTCCCTTGCGCTTCTCGCCGAATCGATTGCGTTGCGTGCGCAGCCATTCATTCTTCTTCTGCGCAAATTTTGCGACGGTCGGGTCGGCCGGCGGCTGATAGCCTGGCGGCGGCGGCGCCAGCGGCATGGAAGGAGCTGCACCCCATCCTGGGGGAGGAGGCGGAGGAGGTGGCAATGAAGCCATGATGGTAATTGATGGGGGGAAAGCCCACCCTCCCTCGTAGATGTTGCGTTGGTTTCAAGTCGCGTTAAGCCACGTCGGAGGTCATAGGTAGCGGGACTCTCAGCTGGGAAAGTAATTCCAACTGGAGGGGCAGACACTAATAAAGGTGGAAGGTAATAATTAAGATGAAAACGCGACAAAGATCGAGATCCACGATCCCCTACGCGATGTGACTATCTCTGCTCCTTTCTCCCGTTGAACTTTGAGGTGGCGGCTCCGATTGGCACTAGTCCGCATTAGGGTTAGCGCCACCTCGCCAAATCTGCGCTAGCGTCGGCTGAAGCAGAAACCCACACAAACCGTCTCGACATATTTCACTTTGCTTCACGACAACTCCGACAACTGCCGCCCTTGACCAGTTCAAGTACAGTCAAAATGACCAACAACAGACTGCAATACGTGAGTTCTATTTGAGATATTGATTTGGGAATTATTGTTCTAACCCTGTCGCAGCGCCGCCGGAACCCGTACGTTTTAAAATTCCCTCCAGACGAAGAATGCCCAATTCCACGTTTCCTACGATAGTCTGCACGATTACTATGAAGACGGGCCTACTTTTTGTTCGAACGAATTATTGACGGTTCTTTTTTTGCACTCGATAGGTACAACACGCGGTCCAACAAGGTTCGCATCGTCAAGACCCCCGGCGGCGAGCTCCGGTACCTCCACCTCAAGAAGAAGGGTACCGCTCCCAAGTGCGGTGACTGTGGCATCAAGCTCCCCGGTGTGAGTGCTCCCTGACGCCTCTGGTGCAATTTTCGACGGTTTTGTGGGATGTGTGCGGTTACGGGTGGGCCAGGCGAACGACCTGGAAAACTCTGTCTGGATGGACTGGGGTACCAATGACTGGCCGACCGAAACGCTGCACGCTCTCTACGACCGTCTCGCACCAATTTTGGAAGTCCGATCGACTGACAATTTTGATTTTTAGATCCCCGCTCTCCGTCCCCGCGAGTACTCCCAGATCTCCCGCCCCAAGAAGAATGTCAGCCGTGCCTACGGTGGTTCCCGCTGCGCTGGCTGCGTCAAGGACCGCATTGTCCGTGCCTTCCTGATCGAGGAGCAGAAGATCGTCAAGAAGGTCCTCAAGGAGTCCCAGCAGAAGGCCGGCAAGCGCTAAGCGTGCTTTCTGTCGGTGTTGTTCTTTCAGTGGAGTGAATGTTACGGGGGAAACGGCTGGGAATGGTTCTCTTAGAATCCTAAAGATGAACAGGAACAGCTAGCACGCGGGTCCCAAAAAAAAAAGGCCCACTGCTATGCAAATGAATCAATTTCATTTATCTTCATGAGTGATTCCCAAATATGTCAATTGAGTTGTCTGAAAAGGTGTTCCTTGGAACTTAGGTGGAAGTTTCGCACTCACCTATTCCGACTCGCAACTGTTGTAGTCGATCTGCCATGACACGTTGGGTAGGTCTAGAATCTGGATTGACGCCTTTCGAGCTGGCACGGTCCTTATTGAAATTCACACTATAGAACTGTCATGGGCTCGGGCATAACGTAGTCACTGGGTAAAACAATGGCGTGCTCTGCGTTGGTCATTGCAGGCATTGCATTATCTGCCTGATATTGAACATACTTCTCGGCGTCTCGGCCTCATGCTATAAGATACCTGCAGTGACGCCTTCCATTGCGTCTACGCGGATTTGGAATCCACGTCAAGTAGGTGATCAGACTTCCGTTCCCCGGGGTGAATATCTTCACCGCGATAAGTATGGGTCCAGTTCACGTCACCAGGAGCCAGTCTCTGTGCTAGTTTCTCCCCTGCAACGCAGTTGTACGTGTAATCCTTGTTTCTTGCCTTGGTCGGAATACAGCCAGCACAGCAGCCGTCTGCCTCGCTAAGCGGTTGCAGGTCATCTCGAAACCCCAGAAGCGGAGCAAACTATGTCCCCGTATTATCGACAGGGTCTTGTAACCATAGGGACCTCTTGTCCGTAAAGTTTGACCCTTTCGCGGATTTGGATTTTGACTAGCCGTGCAGCCAGGTTTAGGGTTAATGACACCGCTTGTTGTCAAGAGGGTTTCAGGGCCTTGGATCTACACATTTCTAGCCAGTGCTATTGGACGTCACGTTGGAGATTTATATTTGTTAGTATGAACGTTGCAAAAAGCAGCTTCGTCGCTAGGGAAATAAGAAATACTGTCATGATATACGCACTTGCGGATGTATATCAGGTGGTAAGAGCCGCACAAGTACCTTAGTAACTAGAAGAAACTGTTGTTAATGGCATCGTATCGGAAACGAATTTAGACACGATTAATATATCGGCATGACGCCTCTTAGCTGCTGATACTCTCTTGACTTGCCATTTCGAGTAGGAGATTCATCCCTGCAGCAGCGTTGACCCGCGTGAGGCTGCAGACGGGATTGGTTGCAGATACACTGAATAAATCACCATCTTAAGTATGGTTCTGTCTGTCATTCTAGATACAGGTACATACAAGTAATACATTTGAACAATGTCCACTTGACTTTAAGGTTAAAGTGAAACAGAGACATCGCATTATGCTCGGACGTTCTTTGTGGCCTTTCTACCACCCACTACACAACATGAACATGGCGTGTGACGACCAGAAAAGATCTCCTTCTCAAAAGAGATCTATCCTGTACTGCCAGTCTAAAATAAGTCGGTCTCTGCCAAGGAGGAAAGAAAAAAGAAGGCGTGCTGACATTTCATGTCAAAAATACCAATAAACATCGATCCCTCCACTTCCGCTGTTCTACTGACTGTACGAACGCGCATGTACATTTAATTCCGTGGGACCACACAATTTCTCCAAATCTCGGAGCCGAGCCTCAAGCGATTTATAGATTAATCACCGGTCTAGGTGGCTTTCTTTTCTTTTCCTTCCTTTTCTTTTCCCATGTCAAATGCAAAACAAGAAGAAATTTTGGCGGTTGGATCCACCCAAAGCCCGGGGATACGGCTAACAGCAGACAATAGGATCAACCGACGAACACCCAAGAAGCGGTCAGGCGACTGTTATGTATCGGATTACTTCATGGGCCTCCCGCTGCGAGTATTTGTCCAACAAGAGCGCATGAACAACTGACAGCTGTTGAACCGGCCCACTCCCCCACAGATGCATAACAGGTGAAGTTTGTGCTCATTATCCAAAGACTTATGTAGTAGTTGGGCTATAGAAGTCGTTACATTTGTACTTTTCCTTTGGTACAGCTGATACTATAACCTCTAATATCTTCTAAGCAAAGAAAATCGGATTTACAAGTCCGAGAAGCCCGGCACCCGGCAGGCTGGACATCCTATCGGCCAAACAGGCACATATCAAGTGACAGGCATCAAACACAGCCTTCCCGTGCCGACATCGATCAATTGATGTCATGAAGATCGAAAAATTGGAAGATCTACCCCTTTTTGCTTTTCCTTTCTCCCTTGCAAGTAGTCGATAGATCAAATTCGATCTGGAAACCCCCAGCTGGGCTCGATTTGGCAACTACAGTGCGACCATTTGGGTAATATAGTTAGGCTGTACCTGATTTTCCTCGTTCTTGAAATTGAGGCTATAGATGCTGACTGCCTTCCCTGCATTGGAGATCTTAACTCATTCACAAGGCTGCGGTATATCGGCTATGCATACCTACAGTACCAGTAGGCATGTACCAACCAAATTAAAAGAGTAGGTCGTTAAACAGCGGACGTGAAAGAAAACAGGAATTCACAGAATACAAAGGTCTACTAAATAAGGGGCGGGCTAGCTGCCGAAATGTTGCCACGATCACAGAGAGACCCGTCGTCTCTGGTCTATTGGCCACATGTGCAGTGTGCACATTGCTAATGTACATAAGATTTATTCGGATGTCACCGCTTCCTTCGACGAAGGGAGCCAGTATCGTGACTAGGTATTACCCGTCGGTTAGACGGCCACCGTCACCCACGATTGACATGTAGCTAACACGAACATCTGTCGAGCAACCGGGTCCCGAGCTAGTGCGCACTGCCGTTGCTAAAAGATCTCATGCCTAATCAAGACTAGTAAAGGCCCATGTGGACGTCAAAGAAAACTACCCAACAAAAGCCCACATAAATGGAACCCCGTATGACATTGGCCGTTAGGGTTAGATCAAGGGTAAAATCGACGTCGCAGCCCTCGGAGCCATCCTCCAATAGCTAGCAAAATCAAATTATCCTATCCAAGAATAATTAAATAATACCGGCACGGTCCGCAGGGAAGCTTTGGAAACTACTGCAAAGCCCATTAGTAGGTGGGCATTTCCGGCCACATTGTGAACCGCATTGCAGCTGTCACCTGTCTAAGGGCGTACAGGTACAGTCTGTACGTAAAATTGCACACTTACATGCCTTTCCACGGTGGCCTCGCGGCCCCCGTCTATCTCCGCAGATGCAAGTTGCTTTTTACCCAGTTAGGTATACGGTGGTATCAAACTAAGTACCTGTATAGAAGTGGAATGATCTACCTGAGGCTGCACGGTCATGACTAATATCACCCCTAACCACCCCCTGCTCAACCTTGCAGATCGTGCACGATCTACTTACCCACAAGCTTTTGATTCTCTGTTCGATCTATCTCGTACATGCCTTTTGGGAAGGAATCCAAATACCAAGGCTAATGCCGCTCTTGTCACCCGTGTATTGTCGATCTATCTATCACGCCAGTTGGTCGCGACATGACCGGGGACATTAAGGCGTCGTTTTGATTCATGTGCGGAAGTGGTCCCCCTCCCCCCTGAAACTTGATCTCGGAATGTCGTCGGCATAACTTGAAAATGGTATCGTGTCCCTACGTAGTATCTGTTGGTCTGGTATATCCCCTTTCATATATGACTTCCTTGTGACTCTGACAGGGGGTCTCTGTAATGCGACCGAGTGAGTCAACCTTTATCCATGATCTATACAGAATACCAGGCAGACTCGGGGCCGTGAGGTCCCGCCCTTTTAGGTCGCCCGAAAGTGGAAGTGGGAAAATAACAGGTGAGATGGCTATGAAGCAATGGGAGCACATTGCCACGGAGCTTGTCCACGTCACCCTAGCACCTGGTAGGTTGCAGGCAGGCAATAGAACGATAGAGCGGGGTGATGGGGGCGGCATAGGGTGGTCATTCAGCTCCCTATGGATATTCGAACCGGGGGTTAAAAGGGACCAGAGAAGACTAGGAGAAGGGGGCCGTCCACAGATTGTTAGACCCCTGCACTGACAGGGAAAAAACGGCTATCCACGACCTAAGTATGCAGGTTATTGTTCAATATTTCCTCTCCTGCTGTGATTGGATACTATTCCTGTCACTTGAGACACCGCCGTCTTGTCCAGACGTATGAAGCAAATCCAGCCGCACAGCATGTGGCCCATATGTGCAACAGTAAACAATGCCGATGTATTCCCACGGAGAATTACTTCATAAGTCCAGATCTATCGGCAGAAGGATATTGTCAACTCTTGGCGTTGTTGATGCCCAACAGTACATACTTCCATTTGTATGGCCCTGGAGACGGTGGGACTCAAGAGAAGCGAGACCACAACTGAAAAGAAATCTTTAGACTAGGTGGGTCAGCGGAAGACCCAAGGGTTGACTAATTTGACAGAGAACGGTGATCGGCATATGTCCGTGGTTGATAGATTCCGATGAAATTGGATGTGTGGGCAGATTCTGATACATTTGGAAAAGAAAAAAAAACACAAAAATAATAAAAGAAAACACCCATGTCCTCATGTCAGAAGCCCGCAAGAGAAAAAGCAAAAAGCCAAGCAATAACGAGGCAAAGAGGCAAAAGATAGATCGCCTTCGCCGTAGGCTCGCGCCGTGTGAACACCCGCAAAGACACTTCCCGATCCGAGTAGTAAGATATGCACAAAACATGCACCATGTCTCTAGTGTATTTGAAGACCAAAATTGGCCTTGGCTAAGAAAAACGGGAAAACCACAAAAAGAAATTGCCAAAAAACGAATTATGCAAGTCAGGGTAGCTGCCGGGCTTTTTCACCGAATCTCTTTCCAGCACCCCTTTCTTTCCTTCTTTCTGCGCGTGTGTGTGTCTCCGCTACAAATCATGGTGGAGATCGGCCGGAACATCGGATCCTGTCATCATCCCAATATTGTGATCCGACGATGGTGAATACCAGCCCGCATGTGCTGCATGTCTCAATGTAAACGCCTCATTGTCCGGCGCAGCCCCCATGGTTTCGTAGAAAGACCCATTGTTGGTTGGTGAAAGGTTTGTACAGCCGATCACGGATTCCATACCGTATCTCTGCAATGCATTGTCGATAGGCGGGGCAAGAGCGGGTGGCACGTAGGATGGCATCACTCGAGGGTCCGGGTGGGAGAAATGACCATCCATAGGGTAAGGAGGCAGGGTCATTTGAGGGGGTCGATAGATTTCATTGGGCTCGTCATGACCGGCATTGGGATGGCGTGCCTTCGCCATCTCTGAGGGATTCCCACCCTTGGTCTCCGTGCGTTGGCGCTGAGCGGCACGAGCATTTGCACCAAGTGCCTTTCGTGCACTCGCTTGCTTGCGGTATCGAGTGGTGGATTGGACATGACCATGGCGAATTGCCTCAGGTGTCAGGCGCCAAAAGTTGACTGCCTTTTTTCCCGGGCCCAATTCCTCCTTGACGGCCTCGAATCCCTACATGAAACTGTTAGTACTTGTGCCAAAGGTGCAGGGATTGAAATGAAGCAGCCATCAAAGTGAAACTGATATCTGGGATAGAGCGGGGAACCTACTGCATTCATAGACAAATTATGCCGGATACTGTTTTGCCATCCTTTCGAACCCGAGCTCTTGGCCTTGTCCGTGTTCCTTTCGAACCAGTTGTAAATTCCCTGGAGAGGGAGCTTGTTGTCTTTGGCATCCTTTAGGGCCCGGAAGATCAAATGAGAGTATGGGGTTGGTCCAGGTCGGTCTTCTCTGTCATCCTCACTGGAGCCTGGTGAAAGCTGATCCACTGTCTGGATCGTCATTGTTGGACTGGCGAGGACCAGAGACTCTGGTGACTCGTAGGAGGAGATCGTCGACAGTGGCGATGGGGGAATGTTATGCACTGCGTGAACAGGCTGCAGGTGTGCCGGAAATTCGGAAAGTTCATCTCCTTTGAAGACAGGCGAGTGCACTCCTATCCAATCTGAGTGGACTTCCTGAGGAAGCTGTCTCTTTCCTTCGGTAGTAAACGAACCCATGCATGGGACAGCCATGGTGGGGTCGGAACGTGAAGAGGTGTACAAAGAGTCAAGGTAAGCAGCTTGACCGTGTCGATGGGGATGGGAATGATTCGCGTTGTGCTCGTATTGGCCAGAGTCAACAACGTAATGATTAGGGAAGGAGGGTTGGTGAAGGGGTGTCATGATCCTGGCCTGATGAGATCTAAATCTCGGCCAGTGCTCGGCTTGATGACCGGGGTTGTAAGATTGGAGAGAGTTTATTTGATAGATAGAATCCGGAGAAGAAGTCTCACTTTGCTGTGCGGAGTAAGTGTGCTCGCTTGCTCGGTCCATTGGCAAATGAGCCGTGTGGAAGTGAAGAGATGAGATCGAGTTGTCCATCACCTAAGGGACTTTGATAATGCTTTGGGGTGGAAGTGAGGAGTTGAAGAAAGGAAACGAGAATGAAGGTAAAATAAGTGTTGAGGAAGAGAAGAGATCTGGGTCTAAGGTAAAGAGTACTGTAGAAGTAGAGAGCATAAAGTGATCCCCCAGCTGTTACCATTCAAGATTGGAGCTGTACACTTCAAGAAGCCACTCAAGCACGATCTTCCCCTGCCAGCACATAAGGCACATGCTCTTTTAGCTGCAAACAGCCTTGAGATGCATTCAAATACAAACAAAAGACGGTCTGGGCCAAAGTCTTTTGTTTCTTTTTTGTTTTTTGTTTTTGTTTTTTTTTTTTCCTCCTTGAAAAAGAATACGCCGCTACTGATACTTCCTACGGAAAACGCCTCCCTAGATGCCCAAGTCGTGGAACGATTCATTGTCTATACAGCCAACGATTGCACAGAAGGCCAAAGTGGCTGGATACTGGATTTAGTGCCGCTGGAATAGAGAGGCCTAGCGGACAGCTGCAGTGAAAATCATTCACCGGGCTGAAAGCCGACCTTCTGGAAGTTAACCGCGACATCGCCTCTGGCGCCGTTCTGGAAAAGACCTCCGCTTTGCCTGATTTTTGTCCAGCCCAGGCGTTATTTTTCTTTTCACTTTTCTGTTCGTGGGCTGCATCCAGCGAGCCGGAAGTCAGAATCGTCCTGCACTCTGCAGGCCGGGATAGTGTTACCAAAAGGCTCCAACGTCTCCCGTTTTGCGAGAGAACACCCTAGTAAAATAAAGTAAGAAATAGAAAAAGGAAAAAGAGCTAAAAGCAGTATTCATCAATACACCAGTTGCACCCCCAGACGTTCAGGGGGTTGAGTGTGTGTGAGATGTGGCATTGCCAGAGGTAGAATTAAGGTAGTTGGAACAAGCGTTTGATATCCTTAAAATGTATCGAGCGAGTATGAAAATTTCGGGGGTAATGTTTCCAGCCCAATCAATCCGAGTTGGCTTGATTCACTGGGTATCGGGCATCTGGAAAATACACCCCGATCGTCTCCCTGCATAGTAATCCACCTCTCCATCCCGAAATGACGCCCATCTGCAAGGTTGTTGCGCATGTGTTACTTCCGGTAATAGATCTGAGACAAGTTAATGATGCATCTTTTTGAACAGCAGAATTCGACTTACCCTCTTGAATTGGAAGTGAAGTTGGAGAATACCCTAAAAAGAAAATTACGTCAGTGGAGAGACCGTGAGAGTTGCACGGCATAACTTACCTTGTCGAAGGTACTCTTGAAGCCCCTCTCTCGCTTTGCACTATAATCCCATTCTTTGTCGACAATTCGGAAAGCAATGTCTTCGTACGGTGGTCCAGCCATAAATCGAATGAGACATGTGTCTTCCTCGCCCGCCTCGGCCGTCGATTCACCGCGCTTCCGACCGTTCTCACGTTCGATGCGATATGTTGGGGCCTTGGTTTTATCGATCAAGTCGGGGTAGAAGATGTTGAACTTGTAACCCTGTACAACCTTGGGTGGCGGGTTGTCATGATCATAATGAGTTTGGTTGTATTTGTTCCATTCGTAACCCATTTGAACTCGGTTGAAATATCGGGGTTTTCTAGGCCGATGCTTACCAGCCCATTGGGGTTGCGATACCGTACTCACGGCCTCTTCACCAGTGAATATTTCCTCATTCTCGCTGACACCTTTTGCTAGCTCCCTTTCGTAGAGCGCTTTGGTCGCTTGCGAAAAGTCCTCGTTCGGGATGGAGGAGAACCTGGTTGATGTAGAGGCCGCGGGCGTGCTCGTAGATGCTGGGTTTCCCACTACCGCGGACTTTTCAGTAGCTCGCTGATGGAGTGGGACAAAGCCCATACGGAGAATTTTCTGACGTTCGCGTGCCTGTGTAATTGATTAGCATTTGCTCCGACAGTAGATGATGCATGCCAACTTACCACTTGGTCCAGGAATGCGGACTCATCCATGATTTCAAAGACCTTATCCTCGGGACGAACTTGAAGCAATGGATCTGGGTCCAAGCCTTCAAACTCGGCAGGGTTTGTGGTATCACCTGCGATGACGACAGGAGCAAGAGGCGCCAATTTCGCCCGGATTGATTCAGCTTCCTCCCTCTGCTGCTTTCTCAAGTCGCGGACACGCTCATCAATGATGGTCTGGTAGACGTTCCTCAGTCTCGCCCTCGCCTTCCAAACCGTGAGACTGCGGAGCAGTTCTTCCCAGTAGTCTGTATCGATTGGCTCGTTCGAGTTCAACTTTCGTCTCACTTGTACTTCAAGATTTTTTAGTTGTTCGTAGGATTTCGGGCTCAAAAGCTTGTTGATATCGGCGGCCACAGAACTTAGGGCACGTCCTTCGGGTGTGGAGGTTTTTTGACGGTCTCGGCAGATTACTTTCATAGTCTAGAGGACAACGGTGGTCAACAGCATGCTTGAACTGAATCTCGAAAAAACCTTACCTGCCAAAAGTCGCGGTTCTGCGCATTTGTTTCAAGATTCACAAATGTATCGATATCCTTCTCCAGGTCTTGTAGCTGGGTCTGTGACAGACCCTCGAACACACCGTCCGGATCCACGACATCCAAATCGGAGTCTGCAATCTCATCGTCCAAAGGGTCGCGCGTAGGATCGATAACACGGAGAGTGACCGTAAGCCAGTCGATAGGCTTTGCGCGGCCTTCCTTGACTCGGATCTCTGCTTTCTTCTTCGCCTGCTTCAGCACGAACACGTCCTCCTGCGCGACCCACTCGCGCACTTGCTGATCTTCCTGGAGAAGGTTGAGCCGGACTTGGTCGCGCATATTGCGAGGCTGCTGAGAGGGGCCGGGTCTTCCATTATCCCATCTGCGACCAGAGTCTTGTCGATCGCGCCATTCTCTATCGTCCCGACGGGGATGATTCTGCTGGCGGCGCGATGACGGCGATCGCGACCGGCTGCGCCTTGAATCTGGTCGGCCCGGGAGTCGCGAAGTCATTGTGCTGTGAAAGGACCAAAGGTAGCAAAGATGAAGCACTTGGATGCGCGAGGTCAGAAATTCGGGAGATCTGCAGGAAAGTAACGCGGGCGGCAAACCTTCCCTGCGGCCCCAGGCAGCTATGACAACTTCCCCCATGGACAAATGCACAACCACTCTCAACTATGCCTTCAACATGGCACCGGCTTCATCTGTCTCATGGAGGCCTGCCTCCGTTGCTCTTTCAATATACCTGGACTCAACAGGGCTATGAAATCTACCTCACCGATCTCACCTATGTTTGGGCAGAACGGTTGTTCTATGAGGACATAGCCAAAAGAGCAGAGGAAGAGGCCGCAACGATCGACCCCGGAGAAGATCCAGAACAGCTCAAGGTCCTCTTGGATAAGATTGGGGAAGCTCTACAGAGGGGCAAAGAAAGTACAGTGCTAAGCAGTGGAACGCAAACCGGCTCGCTTGAAATCACAACAACAACCAAGCTACCGGCCCCGTTGAGGCCTCTAAGATGGACTTTGAAGCTTTCAAAGGAGCCCTTGTCAGCTGCGAAGAGTCGTCTACTCATTCCACTGCTGAAAGAGGAGGCGGATAGGGAGTCGCGCCAGCGCTCTCTGCTCAATCAGATCAAGCAGAAAGACTACGTGCTGGGCAAGTTGTTTGACAAGATTGAAACCCTTGGCACTGAGCTGGGGTCTGTGTTTCCGAGCGCTGCAGGTTTACGTACATCTCGCAAAGACAGTACCCGGTCCGAAGCTGGCAGATTCGTGAAAGGTATTGCGCCCTTCGACGAGGAGGCCTGGCTCGCCGAAGTAGGGTCATCCAATGGCTCAGGATTTGGAATCAACCTGTTTCAGGAGATTTCAGAATCAGGCAATGTCGAGGATTTGGAGAACATTAATCAACACGGTGAATGGTGGCGTCAACTTCAAAAACGCCCTCAGAGCCATACGAGGGAAGCCACTCCTCCCAAAGTAGAGGAAATCGCTGCAACTCCAAAGAAGCAGGATAGAGCTGTCCAGCCACAACCTCATGATGAGGAAGGCGAATCAACGGCAAACAGCGATCTCGATGAATTTGAGGTATGCCAAACCTCCCCTCTAGGCCTTCTAACAATATGATTAAAGCTATTATATAGCGACAAGAAACACCTCCCCATCTTAAGCGCCAACATGTCAAAGAATCCGTTCCCTCACCAAGACCAAAGGCCAAAAAGAAAAGCCCATCTCCACCAGGTCCGTCAGAAGCAGTCGAAGCTACAGCATCAGACACCGAGCCTGAGCCAGCACCAGCACCACGCAAAGGCCGTATCCCAATTAGTCCAGCTGAGCCTGAGCCTGAGTCTGAGCCTGCTGCTCCAGCTTCACCTCCACCTAAGGCCCGGGAAGCCCCAAAGAAGCCAAGAGGCGGGTTGGGTGTTATTGGTGGCAAGAAGAAAAAAGAGAAAGAGCCAGCCCCTTCTCCGCTGAAGCCGAAGGAACGACCAAATTCACCGGAAGAAGAAGGAAACAATGACCAAGTTCGTCCAACATCCTCAGTACCATCGCCAGCAATAGCCAAACCGAAACGCACCGGAAAGCTGGGCATGATAGGCGGTAAAGCCAAAGCCAAAGCCAAACAAACATCCCGAGACGCGACTCCTCCAGCTACATCCCAAACCGTGATTGCCTCACCTGAGAAGA